AGCGTGGTTTGGTTTTTTATTTGTATTACGTTCAAGTTTTTTTTTAAAAGTTAAACCAGAATAGATTGATAGGATTCATTTTACATCATATTGATGAAGGATATCTGTTATCCGAAAAATTTATTGATATTTGTATTTACTGTTTTCTCTTTTAAATATTGATGTTGTTTGACAAATCATTTACGAAAAACAGATATAACAGAAATTAACCAACTACAACCACTTAATTACAGGCTCCTGACTTGGGACAGGCACATAAAGAATGTGGCAGGGTTAAACATTTTTGTGAGGGCTCAACCTTTCCCCTAACCAGTGACAATGGTGTTACAAGATTCTTACAACTCAGTTGGAAATGGTTTGACTCATCAGATAGACACGAATCACAAAGAACAACTAATATAAAGACAAAAGACACGAACTATATATATACCGATCAGGAGTACTCGCAGTTACTGAAAGCGTGTGACGTCATCAATAGTCTTTTAAAAGCGTGACCTTGTGCAATGGCAAAATATAAGTGCATACTATCGACAGGTATAGTAGGGCCATCAGGGGCGTAGCTATACCTTTTAAATGAAGTGGAATGACAAACTGAAGGGCGATTGGTCCAGGTAGGGGCAGGGGGGCGAATATATAGTGATTCAACAAAATCACAACCGTAATAAAACTTGTACAAGGTTGTTGTGGTTTTTTTTTGGTCAACTATTCAGTGTTTAACTTCGAGTCGAATGAAGACTTAACATTGTCGTTTGAGTGTGTATGAGTTTCATAAAATTTGGATGTCATCATGAGGCAAACTTAAGTTAGAGTACGGAAATGAAAAACAAAATCAATGTTAATAAAAATAAAAATCATATTCAAACATCTTACAAGGGTGTTGAAATGATATCCTTTACAAAAAAGTTTATTCTGGATGAATACGATCGTATTTAAATTTACGTACTTTATAAACAATCGATTCCCGTAAAAATTAGGATGTGATATCCCGTTTTAATAAAAGGTACAGCAAATCTTCATAGCGGCTCATTGAAAATCTACACCGCCATTACAGAAACGGGCATAGTAAACTGACGAGTTGGCAAATATACACACCGTATTTTTTAAGAAGAGATCAAAAAAACACCACCGTTCAAAAGAGGAAATAGGGAACGAACAATCATCTATTGTGTACAGATGTATTATCATCACGGTGAAGAAAATTATATAGGTCGAAATGTCATGATCAGTATCCTTCTAATTGCAGTAAGCAAGTTCGTCCATAATAATATTTTGTAGGACTCTGTAGTGTTTTCCAAATTGTCAACAATATAAATATATATGTAATATGTTTAAAGCCGGAGTCGGCCCCACGGTAAAATAGCCACTGCATGTGCCATTATAAAAACAAGGAGACTAGTTTGGTATGATTGCCAACGAGACAACTATCCAATTATGATTATTTGTCATCTACCTTTTTATATATTTTTGATAGTTTTGGTAAAAAAAAAGAAGTTCCATTAAATGCTGATGAAGAGACTGAAATGGTCGGTGAATAAGCATTACTAGTTTCAGAGACATATATACATAAAATTGAGAATGGAAACGGGGAATGTGTCGAAGAGACAACAACCCGACCAAAGAGCAGAAAACAGCCCAAGGCCACCAATTGGTCTTTAACACAGCGAGCATAGCCAGAAATTAGTAGTACTTTTGCTAATTAATATTCATAATATGTAAATGAGAATTGTACCACGTGATAATAGTTTGAACTGGACTGGCTTGATATCATTAAAATCTTTAAAACACGGATATTATAAGTTGCCCGTCACAGAGTCCTTGTTTATAATCACTCTATTTCCGTAAAGTTGTCAGGCGGTCAAAATCAAAACAATGAACGCGAATTTAGTGAATTTTTCGTGTTTTCGTGAGTTTATTCTTCTTGAAATAGAGGCATTTTAACTTTACGTGGGAACCTAGAGTTCAACGACTACACATACAAGGTTTGGACTTGCTTATTCTTTCGACATTCAAGTTTCAAGTTTCACCCCGGCAACCTGTATTTCTAATGACCTTGTTAGCCAATTTTCAAAACGAAGTTTGCAAATTTGACGTTTCAGCCATTTTAGCCTGTATTTTATACTGCAATTTTAAAAGCCTCTCGCTTCGATTTTTAAAATAGCTCAGGAACCTTGGTTTTTGCAACGACAGTAATTATATTTCGTTTAAATGGTGTATATTGTTGTGTATATTTATTTTCTGCCCCGGCAACCTGTCTATCACTTAAATCAAAGTTAAAACAGACATTTTTTCAAAATTCCCTATCATTTCAATATAATTTCCGTGACCCGTATCCGATTTCTTTAGTATTATATTCAAATAAGCAAAGTGGCGTTGATTTCTGGATATGGAAAATCCCGCACCCGTAGGCGCGGGCTTCAACTGGCCCCTAAGCAAAAATGTGTACTAGTTCAGCGAAAATGGACGTCACACTAAACTCCAAAACATATAAATGAACCAAAATTTTTAAAAAATACAAGACTAACAAAGGCCAGAGGCTACTGACTTCGGACAGGCGCAAAAATGCGGCGGGGTTAAACATGTTTTGTGAGATCTCAACCCTCCCCTATACCTCTAGCCATGCAATGTAGAATAAACAAACACACAGCAATACGCACAATAAAACTCAGTTAAAAAGAAGTCCGAGTCCGATGTCAGAAAAGGTAACAGAAGAAACTAAACAAAGGACTACTAGCAGTTCCTGACATGCCAGCTACAGACCTCAATTAAACTGATTGAAAGATTATGTCTTCATCATATGAAAATCAAACACAATCCCTCCCGTTAGTGGTTTAGTATCATACCATCATAAAATATATAAGAAGAACATAACCCGTATCATGCCAACAACTGGGTGTAGACTATAAATGTGTTTAATTCCGATGCAAAGACCCTATGAGTGAATCGATATTAATTTAAAAAATGTCATCTTTAATGACCTGACAACAGTATCTTAACTATATCCCTTCTGAATAAGTCTGTTTAAAGGTTTGGTTAGCTTTTGAGGTGGATGACGAAATTTATGTGCTTTGTATAGAATATTACCATAAAAGATTGGATGTGAAATACCTGAACGTATATACAAGATGTCTGCATGTTGATTTATATTTACGAATGATGTCCTTGTACCGGTGATAAAATTTAGTAAATGTTTTGACAAGTTTGTGATATCGAAAACCCTGGTGTAATAATTTTTCAGTAATACAGAGATTTCTTCCGTTAAAATCAAATACGTTGTTACATTCAAAACACGAGCGAATCGAACAAGTTGAGATATATAAACACCATAATATGCATGTGACAAGGGAACGTCACCATCTAAAAATGGATAATAAACAATAGGAAATGAAAAATCATCTCTTTTATCGTAAATTTTGGTATTCAGCTTCCCGTTAAAGATATAGATATCAAGATCCAGGAAAGGGCAGTGTTCATTGTTAGTATTAGCTTTATTTAAAGTCAGTTCATCAGGATAAGTCTCTTCAGTGTACATTACTAAAGTCGTCATTATTGAGAGCCAATATATCATCCAAATATCTAAAAGTGTTATTAAATTTTTGTATCAGATGTTGTTCGATGGGTCTTTGCTGATTTTAGTCATAAATTGTAACTCATAACAATACAGAAACAGGTCAGCAATAAGTGGTGCACAGTTAGTCCCCATTGGAATTCCGATAACTTGACGATATACGGAATCCCCATAGCGAACAAAAATGGTATAAAGTAAAAATTAAAGAGCAGTTATCGTATCAAAGCAGGTCCAACTGACATAGTTCTGTTTGTTATTACTAAAAAATGACCTATTAAGAGTTTGAGAATATAAGTTCGCATTCTGACTTTTTAAATGCCCATTTAATAACTTGAGGTGTGTGAATTTTTTCTAAATGAGATTATGAGGCAAAGTGGTACATAGGGTAGAAAAATCAAAACTTTGAACAGATTCGAAATCACCAATATGAGCATGCAATTTATCAAGTACTTGCAACGAATTGTTGACACTCCAAAAGTAATTAATTCCACTATTTTCAAAGGCCTTATTTGAACAATTTATTACCAGGTTTTTGATTGTACCAAGTGTACTAGTAGGTAGAATAGACAGTTTAGCCCTAGTAGTGGAACAATGGCTTGAAGACGAAATAAATCTATATGTGGAAGGTATCATTTTGTGCAGCTTCGGAAGCCAGTACGTAGTTGGAACTTTCATTGTCATGGTTCGGTTCTGCTTGTAAAGAAGTAGCTAAAAGTTTATGTTTGTTACAGATATCATTTTCCGAAAATTGAATGTTGGTGAATTCGTGATTTCCTTTTGCAGAACCGCAATGTAAAATTTACGTCAAACAATACATATATACAATATATATATGTGTCTTCTTTCTGGGACTATTAATAACAATTAGTGTAATAGTCCCAGCTACTTTCAAGCAAGGACGTATAACTAACATATATACGTCCTTGTTTCAAGTAATGTTTTCCAAAACAAGAGATATCAACAATAAATAATTGTCCAAAAAATATGAAATGACTAGGAATTATATATAATGTTAGTGTACTAGTCCCGGGAAATAGACAATACTGTATCCTTTAAGCTTTGCTATAAAAATAATGCTCGATTGTTTATAAGTATCAAGGATTTGTATAGTAAGTATTGTCTTACTATACAAATCCTTCAGTGTAAGTAGGCCTATGTATAGCGACTTTCCTAGGCTAGATGTTAAATGATTTATTTTAATGTCCAAAGTTATTAAAAACTCGTGGGTAGTCAAGGTTAAACACCCCCGTAGTAGTAGTAAATTACCACTTTAACATTTGCAAATTTAAAAAGTAAACTAAATCCGACAGGTTCTTGGAAATTGAAAACACTTTAGATACTCAATGCAAACAAGGCGCGTATAAAGAGCTAAGGGAATTCTTCTAGTATCGTCTGGTTTGTGTAGAACCAGGAATTATAGTACAATCTCGCCTATGATACGTGATCATACGAGAAGAACTCTGCTATTTCAGATTCAACATGGCGGCCCAGACAAATTCGAAGTTTTTCGAATTGTATGAAATGAAAGAAGAAATAGGAAAGTAAGTCTTCAGTAAAGACTAGCTCTATGTAAAATCAATTCATACGAATATCACAGGATAGCTGCAAATTCCCTGTTGATGCTTCTGAATTTTAAATATTCCCAAACATGAGCAGAAGGCATAACGTTGGACGATGCTGTTTTCATTTTTACGACATCTTCTGGATAGACCTCTTCTTTAAAGGTCGTAAAATGTTTTATGACATAGTTGGAAAATTGCAGACCATTGAATTTTAGTGTTTTAAGATCTTAAAACTTAATAAAAAGACAAATTTACTCTGGGGTTTTGCTGATATTTCATAAATAGTAAATACTATCATTGATTTACTGCAAACCCTACAAATAGGGAATAGTTCCTCATACCTGGGACTATTACACTAAGGCAAAAAAAAAAAAAAACTTGTTTCCCCTAACCCTACCTTCCCTAATTTTTAGTGCCTACCCTTACACTTTTTATTCCATTTTGGAACAAGCACTGTTAAAGTCAGACTGATTCCCCAGCTAAAAATGTTTGTAAAATAAAATAATATTGCCTACCTACCTACCCTATTTTGTTTTCAGCACGTTAGCGGAAACACATGTATTATTTATTTTTGGCTTAATAGTATAATAGGCTCAGTTCATACATGGGCTGCACAGGCCATGGTTTGAAATTAAAAAAAAAAATGGTTACTAAAATACTTACGGTGCAGTCCGTTGTATCCATGCACCTAAGACTTTTGGCTTCACTTTGGTAATCTTGTAAAACCTATAATCAGATAATATTGCTGAACAATTTTATGACATACTTTAATTTAATGAAATCTTCTTTATGTATGGTTTCACCCTTAGATATTTTATGTAATGTGTGTCCAAAATAAGGAAAACCCCTGTTTTGACAGTTTTTCAAATGTCCAGTGATTTCGTGCATGCCTTCTAAAAATAGCTAATTTTGAATACAGGAAAGATTTTATACTATGAAATATATTTCAGTTTGAACCAAACAGACTTCTAAGTATGCAGAGCAAAATTTATTTCATTTTGATTAAGATTTGACTTCAAATGAAACCAATTTTATATGATGATTAATTTATTTTAATGGAAAATGGCTAAATATGGTTTATCATGGGATTGCAATTATAAATTTATGCTTGCACTTATTAATTTTATTCTTTTCTGTCTCTTGGACAACTAAAACAATTACAAGATCGATTCTATTTGTGTTTCATTGCGGATATGACGAAACTCAGGTAATGTGCGATATCACTGGCTGTGCAGACACAGGGTATTCCACTTTAAAATATACATATGCACACCTAAAAAATATTGTTATATTTGCATTGAAATTTTCAATTCTCTGTCACTGTCATATATTCAACATCATATCCCCATTAAGGTCAAAATGCTAAAGGAATGGAAATTCATTTGCAAGATAACCATGTTGAACCCTCAACTATCACGGTCCACAATAACTCATACTAATTTTTGACCATCAGACATCAGTCTGATCAGAGTCATCTCTTGCTAATAACTGTCTGTGAAGTAGATCAGTAGAAGGATGGTGGCCAGGCAATGTGATTAAGATTTATGATAGCAATAAGTTCTTCTCAAACCACATATTAAGACGGCTACAAAATGTTTGAAGAGCAAGTGTGAATCAGGGCCCTGGGGAATTCCCCCAAACAGTGGTTATTTTACAGTGATATTAAAAATGAAATTTGAGATTTTACTTTCAGAGTTACGATAGTTGATTGCTTATTTTAAAGTGATCATATACATGTATAAGTTAGACTCAGATCAACGTCCAGTCACTAATTGACGTCCGTTCCTCAAATCAACGTCCAATGTTAAGTCAAGTTCTCAAATCTGTGCAATATTTTTACCCTCTAATCAACGTCCAAATGTGACATCATGTTTTACCGAATTGACGTCCAGTTGATCGGAGTCTTTTCTCTAATCGATGTCCAATATGATTTAATCATTTATTCTGAATGAGTTTGATATTTGTTTATATTATCTGTATCTTTTCATTTTTGTGTAAATCTGCTTAAAGAAACTAATTATTTACGTATTTATCTTTTTACTTTACAAATCATAATGACCACTGATAATGACTTAGTTGACGAATATGAGAAGGAACAACAAAGTAGGCAACATCCCAACCCATACAATCAACAAAATAGTTGTTAGCTTCTACGTCATTTGGTCTCTGATGGAGTGTTGTCTCATTGCATGGCATTCAAACCTCCTCTTCTTATTTTTGTAGAAATAAAAATAAAATATATATTAAAATAAAAGGACAAACATCAGTAAATGACAATAAGACAAACACTGACATCATATAACATGTACAAGCAATAATATTTTGATGAAAGAAGGTACTAGTGATGCACTCAATCTACGTTGTCTTATTTCTTTCATATTCATATAAATAAATGATATGTTGATATGACAAAAAAGACAACAACCCTACGACAAAGATAACCGTAAGACATCTAGGAGAAATATACAGTCTAAAACAATAGACAGAATAAAGAAGTACAGTCAATTGTTGAAAAGTATTATAATTCTCTGCCAGATCTAAAATCTTATATTTTTAACAGCTTCTTGAGTTTTAGGTTATTCGAAAAATGCATGTATCAAATCAGAAATATGACAGTTGTTTTCATTAAATACAGTTGTGACATCATTGCGGCAAGTCCGTAAAAAGGACGTTGATAAGAGAAGGCAAATATTGGACGTCGATTTGAGAACAACAAAAAAGATGTAGATTAGAGGGGCATAGAACTGGCCGTCCATTTGGAATCTTATTTCATTATGACATCACATCCGTTTTGGACGTCCATTTGATGAACGGACATCGATTAGAGGCTGTATGTCGATCTGAGTCTTACATATATATATATATATATACAGTGATTTTGTCAGTGCCTTTCATTTTGGCATTTACAAAATGATTTTGAAATGAAGAAGTATTACTGTTTAGTTTTGTCACTTAAATTCATAAAAGTAAATAATTGTATTGTACAAAATTTTACCTGGCGACAAGTAGGACCCCAAGCTTATCAACTGTCAAAACAGATGTCATAATTGTTGTTGCAGGTAATCCACTTATCCGATGGGTCATTTATGATCATTTAATTCATGCAAATAGTATTGGACAATTTGGAATTTGTCTTTTCAAATTTTAAGAATTTTTTTCATACATGTACATCCACGCAATTTTCAACATTTACCATAGTTTCATGATGAAAACATAATTGACAGAAAGACAAAAACCATAATGCAGTGTTCTCGCCAGAAATTTGTTAAGGCGCAAAATTTCAAGGGCGCGTAACTCTATTTTAGAGTGAACTATTGTGACCTGAAGCAATCGGTCATAAATTATTACATGCAATAATGCACAGTATTAATAAACATGACAAAGAATAAGAATATATATATGAAATAAATTCATTTTAAACACAAAATGCATTTATATCGCAGTCAATTAAATAAGTCAAAATGTATATATAGTTCAGAGAAAGAAAAATCCTCATGTTCTTCTGGGCCTTCCAATGCTGAACAGCTTCAGAAATATTTATTTCTTCATCTCTGTTCCTTCTAGAGATATAGTAACAAGACAGTTTGTAATTTTGTTGGACAGCCTGTTCCTTTGTCTCTATATCCTCTTTAGGGTTGAAAACATCATCTGCCTTTCGCTTAACCCACGCTTCCGTGTGTATAATTGTCAAAACGTTTCTTTGCCAGGTAGATATAAACGAAACTTGACAAATTCTTCAAAGTTAAAACCAGTGAAATTCTTTACTAGTGACATTATACAAATGCTGCAGCGATTCCGTACATATATTTCCCGATGGATGAATTAACAATCGATGTTAAAAAATTATTTTATTTCTAAAACGTGACAGTTGACAGACGAATTTTACTTGCAAACAACAATTTTTCACTTTCTAATAAAATGAATCACTCCTCGTTATCTTTAATAAAAGTTTATTTTACTTTTTTGACGTACAAATACTCTCATTCATAAATTTCATCGTAAATTTCTTTAGTAATGTGTATTCAAATTTATCACGTGTATTCATCATGTTCATTGGTTGTGTTTAAATAGATTCTTCATCTCGACCAATGAAAAAAATTGTTACTTAAATAATGAACTTATTAAAAATTTCGTTTTATTTGTATACGTATTCTGTTTTATAAATAAAAGTAAAATTCAGACATATTTTGTCTATATATATATATGACTGCCCTCACTCTTGATATTAAAATATCAAATGGGCAGCCATTGATTGTATTCACTTCTACTGTGTATAATTCTCTGAAGAAGTTGGAACACACCCTAATACAAGAAAGATGACTCAATTATAATTTTCCTTAGTATTGAAATACCTACTGAAGATCTGTCTACATTTTTGAGTAATTATCTCTCAAAGTTTAGAGTGTCTTGGTAGGGGGTTGGGGAGTGGAATTGGGTCATCATTTTCTTATTTTTGATACAAATTTTCTTTATTCTGTATTGTGTATATTTAAGCACCCATTATTCTCTCCTCTTCATTTTTTTGCCCATTTTCAGGGTTTGTCATAATCTCTGGCCTATGGCCAGTATATTTACGGTGTGGCCAGTCAAACAGAACACAGAACAGCCCGCTGGACCAGTTAATATTCTCTGGCCACTTGGGCTAGCAACTTTCATTTCACCTGGTAGATTTTACTTACCTAAGTATTATTGAATATCGATTGATAATTAATAGTAGCCAATTAAATTACCAAGTAAAAATCATTGATCTCTGTTCCCCTGATGACTCATTCCCCGAGATTGGCTGAATCTCATCTGTTAGGAAGTTGTCGTGAAAAAACGGCACCCCAAGTTACAAACAAAGAGTTTGACAAAAATTCTTTTGCCAACTCTCATTGTATTTGTTAGTGATTTACACGTTCTTTTTCTATTTTTTGTTAATGACAAAAAAAAACACAACTTTTTCAATAATGCCCCCCGCTGTAGTGGAGGGGGCATTAAGTTTTACCCTTGTCCGTACGTCCCAAAGTTGGTTTCCATTCTCTAACTTAAGTTTGCCTCAACCAAATGTTATGAAACTTATACATAATGCTTCTTACCACATAACACAGATCAAGTTTGAATTTTAGTGCTGTCACTTTAACTGTTCTAGAGTTATGCCCCTTTACAAATGGAAAAATGTTATGAAACTTATACACAATGCTTATTACCACAAAATACAGATCAAGTTTGAATTTTGGTGGTGTCACTTTTACTGTTTTAGAGTTGAGCTCCTTTACAAATGGAAAAATTGCTGAATTTTTTGTTTCCGTTCTCTAACTTAAGTTTGCCTCAACCAAATGTTATGAAACTTATATATATAAACACAATACTTATTACCACATAACTCAGATCAAGTACAAATTTGGGTAGCGTCTTTTTTACCGTTCTTCAGTTATGTCCCTTTACAACTTTATATAATATGCAATCGGGGGCATCATCTGTGTCCCATGGACACATTTGTCCCATGGACACATTCCCCATTTATTTTAAAGAGCTTTGATCAATGTATTATTTTCAATTCCTTCAGACCACAAGCATGACAAGGCAAGGAAATAGCACCTTCACAGTTCTTATGCAAAAGGCTCTGAAAAATAACAAAAAGGTATAACTGCTGGGAAACTTAATTAAAGAAAGCATTAATGTGTTTCCCTCAATTCTCCCTGTTGGGTCTTCACTTCTCCCTAAATCTAAGGTCAACTTTGTCTGATGGAGTTGGAAAAGCTAAGTACTCATGTTCATTATGATGTATTTTCAAAATGCCAAATTAAGGTTTTCAGCCAGATTTCTCAGTCCAGTAAACATATTCTTGTTTCAATAACTTTAAGTATATATATCTGATAAGTTCCTAGAATTTTTGTCATCATCTAGTTGTCTGTTCCAAAATATTGACTGGACTAGCACAATTATGCCAATTTATGATTGCCTTAACTTTGTAGCCCTTGTTAATGTTATGTGCTTGGCTGTTTTTAAGATCAATTGTGTATGTACGTGTACGTTAAAAATATCTAATTGATGAATGTAAATTTTTTGTGATTATACTATTCCAATTTTGCCTTGAGAGTCTCTGTTTTACCCATGTGAAGCAATACAGAACAATACATACATGTAATGTAGACTAATTAAACTTTAATTTGATAAATCAATGTTATGTAATAAAAACTAATAACAAATGATGTGTTAACTTTTCTGTTTTCATTTAGATAAGAATATAATTATTCAAAGTTATATTTTTATGCACCCAAAGAACGAAAGTGATGCCAAGAAGTTTTCTGAAGGTTATTACTAAACCTATAATATTTTATGTATATGTAATTTGTTAAGTCCTTACATTGTAATTAATTACCATAATACCTGTCTTATTGTTAACACTTTTTCTTTTGCAGAGGAGCATTTTCTGTGGTTAGACGATGTATACAGAAAAACTCACAATTAGAATTTGCAGCAAAAATAATAAACACAAAAAAATTATCAGCTAGAGGTATGTTTGTTTGTTCTTTACTATGTACTTCGTCTTGCTTTGAAGTCTATCATATCAAAGAGTTGCACTTATTATTGGGTGTATTAACAAAACCTGCTTTAAATTAGTATGTACAGTATACACTAATATGCATATTATTTGTAACAATTTTATCACTGACATAAAGTGCCATATATTTTTTGTTTTTCCAACATGTACATATCAAGACCAGTTTTTGTGTCACCTAACAGTGTCCAGCTGTAGTGACGAACAGCTGGGATTACTGCTATCATCTTGTCCATGTCCACATCCTTTGTCAATCCAAAAGTGATAATGGCTACACTAATTTTATAGAACCTGCTAGACATGGCGTTCCCACATTCTGTCCTCCTCTGTGACCTTAAAATATAGATTTAGTCTGTGATTAAAAATTTTTTTTAGTTATCATTATATCAATAACTTTGTTAGTGCTTCATGGAATGTCATAAAACTTGGACAAAGCTTTTTCAAAACAAGAAATAGTATCTGAAGAAAAAATCTTGAATTGTTCTTTAATGCGATTGATATTAGTAATGTTCTGACAAAAGTTATCAGTTTTTACTTTGTTTTATTTGCCAATGAATGATTTTCCCGACCTATGAAATTTATAAAAATTTTAGATTTTAGTCTCCATATATTACCTGAAAATATGTGCAGTGAATCTTATCTTACAACCTTTAATTTGTGTACACATTTTATTAATGTCTTTCAGGAAAATTTAAGAAAAACATAATCATTTACAAATTTAAGTGTCCAACCACCTCAATAAATGTCAGCAAATATGTTTTAAAGTCTTTAAGGGCTTTAATTTAAGATAGTTGAACATGAACAAGGAGTATTTTTAGAAACCACTTTAATTCGTTTGGTACCAAAATACATGTATATTCTAGTCATGAGAATAAATTTTTAAGTCTCCCTTAAAAGTTCACCTGTAATTTCAGGAATTGCTATAGTTTTGTGGTAATTTAAAATGTATTGATTGAAAGTCATTACTGTAAGGTATAGTGGTTCTAAAACATCTGGTTGATATGCACAACATGTTACAATAAAGTATCTCCATTGGACAGAATTAAGCCATTATAAAATAATCTCCAAACAAAACAGAATGATATACATGTAATTAATTGTTATCATTTATTACATTGTTAACCAATATCAGTTGGTTAATTACTGTTCCTATTATTGTAGCACTATGTGACCTGTCGATAATATCAATAAGTGATTTTGAATACCAGTTACTATGTTACATAAGTGTTAGATATACCCCTGAGGGTGTCAGCCAGATGAGGTTTATCTAATTTACACCATGATACTATGGTTAATGCAAAATGATAGCTTTCAATAATTAAGAAGGGGGTCTTTCAGGAATTTGACCTCCTTTAGAATAAAGCATAATAAATGCAGAACATCCAATTACATTTAATTATGATGATGATGGATGGCTGATTGATGTACAGTGGCAAATTAAATGAAAATATATGACCGGAACCTGTTTATTTGATATGAATAAGAAACCTGCTTTGTACTAGACCAACACACTGAGCTGGAATTTTTAGCTTGCTAGTTGAAGATGTATCAGTCCAGAAGGAATACATGTTAGCCAACCAGGACACATTATTCTGCTCCGAGCTGATCAGTCTTTGCTCTTACTCAAGGATAGAATTCAATTATAAGGTCCTGTCACCAAATACAGCCTTTTATAACTTAGACAATCTTTTCACTTGACTACTTTGCCTCATGTTCAAAATATATATGAATAAAAGGAGATGGTGGGTATATGTCAATGAGACAGCAACCCAATAACAAAAAAGACAAAAAACTTCTAGAAAGCGACATACAGTCTTCAGCAATAGGCCAAGTATCCATACAATAATATGTAATATAAAGGAAGGGGACAGGTGCAGTTGTAAAGTGCCTGTGTTGAGAATTAGAAGAAATGGCTGTTAAATGGTATTTTAAGATACATAAACTAATAATAATTTGAATTATGTTACTTCTTATCATAGAAACCCTATACTAGTATAATGCATTGAATTAGAATATGTTCATAATTTCATCGAAATTTTAGTTTTTATGATACATGTTTATTTGCACATTGAGTGTGATAATAATCAAGATACATGTACATGTGTACATAAAAGCTTTCTAAGATATAAGTCAGAATAAACCAATAAAAACTTGCAATAGAAAAAAACATTATGTTAATTAAGGTATAGTAAATCTATGTATATATTCAACTGACATACATATATATATCTTATAATGAACCATTTTTCCTTTTTGAAATAGTCTAACTAATTTGTGCAATGCACTTAAAAGTTTTTCATTTTATATTTTAAATACATGTCTAAGATTGTTTACAAAGACAACCATTACATTAGAGTATCATATTAATTGAGGAATGCACATGTATTGTGTTTAAATGGGAAGTCATCTCATACAAACACTGGAATGATTGTCTCATTTCAAATGAATTTATTAAAAATTGAAAGGGCTATTTTTGAGTGTGTATGAAATTTCAACATGTGAAAAAGTCATAGTCATGGGACCATGCCTCTTCTTTTAAAAATTACTCCTACTTACTTGACCTGATATGTATAACAAGGTTATTAAATAATGTTTGATAGTGATTGTGTGGGAGGGTGTGTCATTTTATAATTTTCTTTATATTGTTTGAAGGAAGACTTTCCTGTTTTATTACTTAGCTATAACCATAACAGTTGATAAATATGAATTTCATAATGTCTCACCGATCCATTGTAAATTTACACCAAGATGTTGTTAAATGAAATTGGAAACCATGCATTAATCATGCTTTTCAATAACATATGGTCAAATCGCTGAAAGACCCCCATCCTAGATTATTGAAAACTATCATTCTGCATTGACAATAATATCTTTGTGTAAATTAGATACATCATATCCGGCTAACGCCCTGATAGGTGTATACTTGTAATGTAGTGTATAGATAGTCCGCTATTTATTAAAATTTACAAGAGACCATAAGCCAGTCACTCTTACATTTTGCATGGTCCTTCATAAGTTAGAGCTAAAGAGACCACACAAGAAGTATTTAAAATGTGTTACCTATATAATTCTCACCAACAGTTGACCATTCTGACTACATTGCCTGAGATTGCTCTGATGTCTGGATGTCTGTTTTTTGAACTGGCTGGGAAGTGTACTGTGTGTATATCACAAAGGTTATTTTTTGTAACCATATTTCATTTTTCACTGACTAAGTAACTATCTCAGTTTCATTGGTTTTTATTATACATTTGAGTTCTGTTCTGAAATTCTAAGTGATTTATAATCATATAACTTAGTGCAAAACATACATTTTTGTGTACATATATATAATTAATAAACAGTTTAAAACCTGATGATAATACAGAATTTTTTTTATTGTTCTAAATGTCAACCCAAGCTTATTACACATCAGTACTCATGCAACAACTGTAGATACATGTATTATATTTTTGACAAAAATAGCTATATGCAAGCTTTGAATGATGCTAAATTTTGTTTGGGGGGGAAAAACCAAATATTTGACCCAGTTTTTACTCGCTTATTCTTGAATCAGATGTTGTTAAAAAAAATCCTCTTTTATTAAGTCAGTGGATTCATTGCTTACAGTGTAGGTAAAGTATAAGAATTTGATCATTGTCAGAAAGTTAAGTCAAGGCTACAGTTACTAAAATGTTGATTATGTTTTGACAGATTGAATATAGTAAACAGCTGGTGTCATCATTTTCATTGTTTACTTTGGCATTGTTTATAATAGAAGTATCAATATTTCTTTTGTTATCTGTATTACATTAAAGTAGGATTCTCAAGCATAATGTTATCTCAGTGATTATTGCAAATGTGCGTTCCACTTATATTACCTATAATTGTACCGTAGGGCTTTTAATAGTTTACTTAACTTTTAACTTATTTTTATACAACTGCAAAATTATAATGGTATGACGGCGTCCACAGTCATTTGGTTTCCAGACAATAACTTGATTATAAGTGAATGGATCTATATGAAATTGTACCACAAGGTTCCATATCACAAAAGGAAGGTTGGGAATGATTTTGGGGGTTATTGTCCTAACTTTTTAGGAATAAGGGGCCACAAACAAGCATTTTGTCTTGTATCAGGACAATAACTTGTGTATTAGTGTATGAATCTCTATAAAATTGTACCACAAGGTTCCATTCCTGAAAAGGAAGGTTGGGATTGATTTTGATGGCTATGACCAAACTGTTTAGGAATTAGGGGCCAAAAACTGGCATTGCGCTGTGCAGTGGCTAAAGTTACGTATTTAAGGTCACTGCATACAGAAAAATATCAACAAATTAGTGAACAGGAAGACAATAATTCAGTAGTAGTTCATTTATGAAGACTTTGATAATATAAAAGACTTTCTTTTACAAGAAAGTTCATGTACACTTGTTTATAGTAAAACTTAGTCTTAGTATACAAAAGATATTCAACTTTTTTTTTTAAATTTGAAGTTTCATGTGACTTTAAGCTTAAAAATAAGAAGATGTGGTATAATTGCCAATGAGACAACTCTCCACCAGAGACCAAATTAAATGACATATAAGTTAACAACTATAGGTTACCGTACAGTCTTTAACAATGAGCAAAGCCCATACCGCATAGTCAGCTACAATGTATAAAAGGCCCCGAAATGACAAATGTTAAACAATTCAAACTTGAAAAATAACAGCCTGATTTATGTACAAAATAATGGAACGATAAAAACCAGTTGAAAAGGGCTTAACTCATCAGATAGATACAAAGCAGAAATACAAAATTGTTTTAATCTGATTTACGGATTCTAAGATAATCAAATGTATACAATAATTTGAGTCTGCTACTTCTGTCTCAGAAAGCAAGACATAGGGAAGGTGATCTGGTAGCTGCATTAACTATAACTACTTAAAAGCTTAATATTTCAGAAGGTAGAAGACATGGATGCTTCATTCTTTGTATATAGGTGCCTTATGTTAAGAAGTTTCCATCTGTGATATGTCCATTGTCATTGACTGCATTTTCATGATTCAGTGACTACTTGAAAAAAAAGTTAAAATTTTTGTGTAATGTTAATTTCTCTCTTATTATGACTCATTATTATGAGTAATAGAATAACTATATTTGGTATGTGCATACCTTGCCTCATGCATGTCAGACAGTTTTCACTTGACCTCAAGCTCATTCCATGGATCAGTGAACAAGGTAAAGTTTTTGTGGTCAAGTCCATATCTCAGATACTATGAGCAGTATGTCTACTTTATTTGGTGTATGGAATGATTGTAAGGTGTACATGTCCAACTGGCAGGTGTTATCTGACCTTCCAGAGATTTTGTGTTTTGGTTTGATTTTCTGATTATGTATCCAATATAGGTCAACTATATTTGGTGTATGGTATTGGTAATATTTTTCGATGTACATGTCAGTCTGGCAGGTTTTATTTGACCTTGACATCATTTTCACTGTTCATTGGTCAATGATAAGTTTTTGTGTTTTGGTATGTTTTTGTCTGGCCTGCTATGAAAGTAGCAGAAAGCTAGACATAGGAATTGCTTTTCCGGCGGCAATGACGATGGTGTCAACAATTGTTATGTTTTCTGCTTAAGTTAGTTTGATATGAACTACTTGTGATAGATCATTGATATTTTATATGATGTTGCATTACTCTCAGTACATATCGGTTTGATGATTATTTTGAGGCCCTGCCCCCTAGGACATGGTCCAGTGACTTTGAATTAATTAGCAATTTCCTATGTTAAGTTTTCTACTTAAGTTAATTTGATAGGAACTACTTCTAAAGGATTAATGATATTTTATATGAAGTTGCATTACTATCAGTTTATATCAGTAAGACCACTATTTCGAGCCCAACAAGGCCCTGTCCCTTAGGTCGTGGTCCAGTGACTTTTAATAAATTAGCAATTTTCAATGTTAAGTTTTCTGCTTAAATCAGTTTGATAGGAACTACTTGTGATAGATCAATGATATTTTGTATGAAGTTGCATTACTATTAGTACATCTCAGTTTGTCAACCATTTTCAGGCCCTGCCCACTTAAGATCGTGGTCCAGCTACTTTGAATTAATAAGCAATGTCCATCAGATTGTCTTTTTCTGAATTTTATGCCAACAGGCAAGACATATCTCTGTGTCAACAATTTATTCTTAACTATAAGCAGTAGGTCAACTATATTTGATGTATTGAATGATTGTAAGGTGTATATATCTGCTTAGCAGGTATCATCTGTCCTTAACCTCATTTTCATGGTTAAGTTTGTCTCTTAGATACTATAAGCAATAGGGTAACTATATTTGATGCATGGAATGATTATAAGGTGTACATGTCTGTCTGGCAGGTTTCATCTGTCTTTGACTTCATTTTCATGGTTTATTGGTCAATATAAAGTTATTATGGTTTAGTCTGTTTCTTGTATGCTATAAGCAATAGGTCAATTTTATTCCGTTTATGAAATGATTGTAAGGTATACATGTATTAGTCTGTTTCTTGTATGCTATAAGCAATAGGTCAATTGTATTCCGTGTATGAAATGATTGTAAGGTGTACATGTATTTCCGGCTTGGATTATCTGACCCTGACCTCATTTTCTTGGATCATGTTAAGTTTATGTGATATTTGTAGTAAAAAATTTGATTTAGAACTATCAACATAAAATCAATTGTCAGTAAAGCAGGCGAGACATTTCAGTGTGTGCACTCTTGTTGTAGAAAGAGGAGCTTCTGTATAAATGTATGATACTGATGCTGCTCAAAAATATTGGAGATTGAAAGTGTTTTAGCATGCTGTTTTAATTTATTAGGTTCTTTCATTTGTATTGTTTATTTTTTTCAGATCACCAAAAATTAGAAAGAGAAGCTAGAATATGTAGATTATTAAAACATCCTAATATAGGTCAGTATATATTGTAATCTTTACACATTTTTATACGCCCGTTTACGGGACGTATTATGGTATACCTTTGTCCGTCCATCTGTCTTATCATCCGTCGTCAACATGTCGGACAATAACTCAAAAAAACTTTAACTAATTTGCATGAAACTTTGGTGAATTGTTTATATCTATTGACGTGAGCTCCCTTTCGTATTTTATAAATTTTAGATTTTAAGTTTCCGAGTTATGGGGTTTTATTCATTAAAAAAGGGGGGATTTTCCAGTTTTGGGACAAAAACTCAAAAACACTTTCACCAATTTGTAAGAAACTTTGGTGAATTGTTTATATCTATTGACGTAAGCTCCCTTTCCATTATTATAAATTTTACATTTTACATTTCCAAGTTATGGGATTTTATTCATGAAAAAGCCCAGGGTGATTGCTATTATTTCATAAAAAGGGGTGAATTTCCAGTTATCAGACAATATCTTTAAAGTGCTTTGAGGAGTTGTCATGAAACTTTAGTGACTGATTAACATCTATTAAGATAACCTTCCTTTAGTTTTTCATAAATTTCTGATATGACATTGAGAAGTTATTGAACTTTATTCTTTTAAAAAGCAACGGGCGTATCATGGGCTCATGGCGCAGCTGTTTATTTATAATATTTTAAATTGTTATGAAAAAATATTGGTAGTAACATGAGCATCTTTGATATGTACTTTATGGTCAACTATATTTGGTGTATGGAATGATTGTGAAGTGTGTATGTCTGTCTGGCAGTTATCATCTGACATTGACCTCATTTTCATGGTTCATTGGTCAATCTAAAGTTTTCATGGTTTGTTCTGTTTCTTGTATACTATAAGCAAAAGGTCAACTATACAAGGTGTATGGAATGGTTGTAAGGTGTACATGTACTTCTGGCTTGGTTTATCTGACATTGGCCTCATTTTCTTTGATCATGTTAAGTTTATGTGATTTTTATTTGACCGCAAAAAAAATTTTGTGGTCGTATATTGGTATGACGTTGGCGTCGTCGTTGTTGTTGTCCGGCATCATCGTCATCATCGTCCGAAGACACATTAGTTTTCGCATTCTAACTTTAGTTTAAGTGAATGGATCTCAATGAAATTTTACCATAAGGTTCAATACCACAAAAGGAAGGTGGGGATTGATTTTGGGGGTTAGGGTACCCACAGTTAAGGGATTAGGGGCCAAAAATAAGCATTTTTCTAGTTTCCAGACAATACTTGTGTTCAAATGTATGGATCTCTCTGAAATTGTACTGCAAGGTACCATACCACAAAGGGAAGGCTGGGATTGATTTTGGGGTATTTCCCTCAAAATTTTAGTAATTAGGGGCCATAAAAGGGCGAAAAAACAAGCATTTTTCTAGTTTCAGGACAATAACTTGTGTGTAAGTGTATGGATCTTTATGAAATTGTACTGCAAGGTTCCATATCACAAAGGGAAAGCTGGGTTTGAGTTTGGGGGTAATTGCCCTAAACGTTGAGGAATTTGGGGTCAAAAAGGGTCCAAAAAACAAGCATTTTTCTAGTTTCCAGACAATAACTTGTGTTCAAGTGTATGGATCTCTCTGAAATTGTACTGCAAGGTACCATACCACAAAGGGAAAGCTGGGATTGAGTTTGGGGGTGATGAATCACAAGGGGGTTCAAAAAATTGGGGGGGATTTTTTTTCCTTTTTTTCTTTAAAATTTTCCATTTTAAATTGGTTATTTCTGATTTATATATAAAAGCAAATAATGATATGGTTTGAATAGGTAAATTAAAAATTTTTAAGTTCTTAGACCACTTTCATTCTGTGTGAGAAACCTATGCTGTGTCAAATATTTAATTACAATCCAAATTCAGTGCTGTGTCAAGCTTGAATGTTGTGTCCATACTTGTCCCAACTGTTCAGGGTTCGACCTCTGCGGTCGTATCAAGCTGCGCCCCAGCGGAGCATTTTATTGTATTATATTTAGGACTATCAACATAAAATCAATGATCAGTAAAGCAGGCGAGACATTTCAGCATGTGCACTGTTGTTTGAATTAACAGAGATGTGTGGTTACCTCAATGAGACAACCAATACTGTTACAAACCATAAGCGCTGGTTTTTTCCATTGAAATGACTCCCATTACACATGTACATGTACATTACAAGTATGATAATAATTTATCCTAATTCCAATGTTACCAAACAAAGAATTTTATTGCATAACAAGAAAATTATAGCAATTTTTCCATCGATAAATCCCCCAATGGTTGACTGAGGTAAAGAGATATTGTCAGCTCTTGGTCTTCTTCCATCTCTATAAAACAGGCAGGGATGCCTCCTACTTGTATATAGAGAGAGTGCTACTGTCTTTGCAGTTATGAACTGTAGCAGCAACTTTTTAAAGGGTCCTTAAGTAACTTGTTGCAATGCTAAATTTGCTCAACATGCATGAAATATATGCCACTGGATGTAAAATAAACAACAATCATAAATAAATCTCTATTTATTTAGTCTGTATGATCATGCACTACCTTGCTGAAAGGTTGTATCTACAGTTCTGCAGTAGGAAATCGTTGCTTGTGCCAATATTTGTCTTATTAAATGTTTTATTTAGTACATGTATTTGCAATGGAAAATAAATGAATTATTTCATTCATGAAATTTTTTGTATGACTAAAAACTGTCAAATGTCGGTCTTGTTTACAACATAAGCTGGATTACTGAATCAGTAAAAATTATATTTTTTAAAAATGTCCCAGATGTTTCAATATTATAATCTGTTTCTCAAGATTATGAACAACAGCATGCACATCCAAAAGCTGAATTAAACTGTCACATAGAATGTAAAATCTATTTTATGTTGAGTAAGAATAGAGCAGCCCAATACAAGAAATGAAAATGTCAAGACTACACAACTGACACGTTACTTATCCAGGCTACACCACTGACATGTTACTTATCCAGGCTATACCACTGACATGTTACTTATCACTGACATGTTACTTATTCAGGTTACACCACTGACATGTTACTTATTCAGGTTACACCACTGACATGTTACTTATCCAGGCTACACCACTGACATGTTACTTATCCAGGTTACACCACTGACACATACTTATTCAGGCTACACTACTGACACAAACTTATTCAGGCTATACCACTGACATGTTACTTGTCCAGGCTACACCACTGACACATACTTATTCAGGCTACACTACTGACACATACTTATTTAGGCTATACCACTGACACGTTACTTATCCAGGTTACACCACTGACACATACTTATTCAGGCTACACTACTGACACATACTTATTCAGGCTATACCACTGACACATACTTATTCAGGCTACACTACTATAATAATAATAATAATAAATTCTTTATTCAAAGAGGGTAAACACAGTTAGTTACAATAAACTAATCTTCCCTGAGGCCCTCACATACAAATTACAATACAATAAAAAACAGAATATTTACACATAGTTAATTTACAGTCAAGTAGTTCAATGTATTATTATTAACATGATAAGATATAAAACTGTTCAAGAGGTACATGGAGTAAAAAATCAAAAAATCAAATAAAAATTAAAACTAAAATATATATACAAATACATTGTAGAAAACAGAATCTTGTCAGGACTGTGTTAAGTACTTCTTGATACTTTGTTTAAAAGTAAAATTGTTTTGAGCTTTACGCATTTTGTGTGGTAGTCCATTCCATAACACTGATCCAGAATAAACAAAAGATTTCTTAAATAGCTCAGCTTTTGGCTTAGGAACTATCAGATTACCTGGAGTGACACCTCTCAAGGAGTAAGGATTTGATCTGATTTCAGTTTAAACTTTTGAACTAGGTACATTGGTGCTTCCATACGCATACATTTATATAGAAGTAAATATTTGTGGTATTTAATTCTATTTTCAATGTCATCCACCAAAGTTCTTTAAATAAGGGGGCTGAGGGGAATAAAGGATCTGCATCTAGAATTAATCTTGCTGCCCTTTTTTGGAGTTTTAATATTCTTGTTATCCCTTCATTTTTACATTCACCCCAAATAATACAGCAGTAGTCAATAAGGGGCAGAATATACCCATTGTAATATGTTTTCCTAGCACTTATATCTAAAAAATTCTTTATTTTAGAAAGAAGGTATATTCTGGGTGATATATTAGCACAAACTTGACACATACTGACACATACTTATTCAGGCTAGACCACTGACACGTTACTTATCGAGGCTAGACCACTGACATACTTATTCAGGCTACACCACTGACACATACTCATTCAGGCTACACTACTGACACATACTTATTCAGACTACAACACTGACACATACTTATTCAGGCTACACTACTGACACATACTGATTCAGGCTATACCACTGACACGTTACTTATCCAGGCTACGCTGAGTACACCACTGACACATTACTTATCCAGGCTACACCACTGACATATACTTATTCAGGCTACTCCACTGACACATACTTATTCAGGCTATACCACTGACACATACTTATTCAGACTACACCACTGACACATACTTATTCAGCTACACTACTGACACATACTGATTCAAGCTATACCACTGACACGTTACTTATCCAGGCTACACCACTGACACATACTTATTCAGGCTACACTAATGACACATACTGATTCAGGCTATACCACTGACACGTTACTTATTCAGGCTACACCACTGACACGTTACTTATCCAGGCTACACTGAGTACTCCACTGACACATTACTTATCCAGGCTACACCACTGACATATACTTATTCAGGCTACACCACTGACACATACTTATTCAGGCTATACAACTGACACATACTTATTCAGACTACACCAGTGACACATACTTATTCAGGCTACACTACTGACACATACTGATTCAAGCTATACCACTGACACGTTACTTATCCAGGCTACACCACTGACACATACTTATTCAGGCTACACTAATGACACATACTGATTCAGGCTATACCATTGACACGTTACTTATTCAGGCTACACCACTGACACATACTTATTCAGGCTATACCACTGACACATACTCATTCAGACTACACCACTGACACATACTTATTCAAGCTACACCACTGACACATACTTATCCAGGCTAAACCACTGACACATACTTATTCAGGCTACACCACTGACACATACTTATTCAGGCTACCACTGACACATACTTATTCAAGCTACACCACTGACACATACTTATTCAGGCTACACCACTGACACATACTTATTCAGGCCACACTACTGACATATACTTATTAAGACTACACCACATACACATTCTTATCCAGGCTACACCACTGACACATACTCATTCAAGCTACACCACTGAGACATAAATTGTCCAGTCCATACATAATCAATTTGTTTATGCTACTTTATGTTGTCTGATCTATTAAAGATCACAGGACAATGGAGAGATAATATAGCTTCACTTCATTTATGGAATGCTTGATCACTGCTATCATATTAATGACTGAGAGACGATCAATGGTATTTAAAGTTGGATTACACTGCTTTGTTAACCGAATGAATTATTTATTTCAATTTGTTCTTTAGTAGTCAATATTAAAATAAAGTAAGGAAACGGGATATGTTATAGAAAAATTGTCCTCAGATATTTTAATGATTACCTATAGATGAACAAATGTTTGTTTGTTTAAACAATTTTTAAGGTCAAAAGTTTAGTGTTTGTGTGTTATTGTTTAGATGTAGTAAGCTGATCTGGTCATGATGAGTTTTCAGTCAGAATCAAGGAAAGCTTTTATTCTGTTGATTTAATCCATTTCTTTGGATAATTATCATATCTTTCTTTGAGGATATGTGTGTGTTTGATTCCATTCCTTTATTACTTTTAAGAGCCAATCTGCCAGAAAACCATGCAAAACCGTCCGAATGTCACTTTTTCCAAATTAGTTCATATTTGGCATATTGGTGCACCTTAGTAATGTAAATAACCACACAAATTATTTTGGGAAATTATTAAACCGATCTGGATATTTTTTGAGCGCCATGTTTTAACAGATGAAATGGCTCGAAAACAGCAAAAATAAGCCTTTTTTGGCATATTTCGCTGGTTTAAATAAAAAAATATGGTAACATTTATAATTTTTTGATAGTTGTTCCTAGTAATACATCACTTTAAGTGTAAGAATGCATAGAATTAACAATGCTGTCTATTAAGTGTATGTATAATCTAACTGTTTCAATATGTCTTATTTAGCTACATGTCCAAAATGGCTGATTTTGGTCATCTTTCAGAGCCAAAATACTCCAAGACCCGTTTATTATTGTAAAACTACATATCTACTTGCAAAGTATAACTATATATACCCAATCAAAAAAAATATCAAGCTCGGCAAATAATGTTGGTGTCTGGTATATGCCACAACAAAATGGGGTAACCTGCATATTCAAATTTTCTCAATTTTGCCGTCTAATTTGTAACTACTGACATATGATAGGATCTGGACTTATAAATAAGTATAACAACAAATGGAAAAGAATAATTAATGTTTCATTTAATACATTAAGAAAATAATCATACATAAATACAAATTATTCATTATAAATCTAGAGGCTCCCAGGAGCTGAAATAGATCGTATTGACAAATTATGCACCTAAAACGATAAAAAACACATATTTCAAACGCAATCAATTTAAATTAGAAGTTAAACAATTCAGAATAAGTTTAGACTGTAAAAAAAAAGTTTCTTCTGACCACTTTTGCAATTTATTCTTATAATATATTGATATAGTTGTCAGATAGTAGCTGAAAACTGTGAAAATTTGTAAATTTACACATTTCAGGGACAATAGCTCATAGATGTTATGTCCAATTTTTCAGAAAAATTTTGGGTATTTAGATCTTGTCATGTTGATAGTTATTATCAATATATATATGTATATATATATTGAAAAGTTTTTAAATTTTGTATACATATATATATATGTATGACACTTCTTCTAAAGTTATTAAGATGATGGTTTAAAAGTGAAAACTGTAAACAGATGATTTTAACAGACAGTTAGTGATGGAAATTTTTTTATGACCCTTTGAGCCTAGTATGCTAACAAGGCAAGATTTGCCAGGTACCTATATCTATGTTGCTGCAATGTGGTCAATACAAACATGAAAATCATGAATGCTTCTAAAATGAAAGAACCTTAGTGAGCGCGCTCACATACCCCACGTCCCAACATTGTCATTGGAGAAATAAAATAAGTGTAAGAAAAAAAAATTGAATCATAATTTCCTGTCAATATGCACATCGACGTAGTATGTCCTTATTATCTACACAGTTTCATGAAATTCTGTTGTGTGGTTTGAGAGGAGTTGCGATGACAAAAGGTTGCAGTAGTATATTGGGCAAATAAGTTCAAAGGGGCGTAATTCCTGGAAAAAAAATTGAATCGTAATTTCCTGTCGTTATGCACATCAACGTAGTATGTCCTTATTACCTGAAAAGGTTTCATGAAATTCTGTTGTGTGGTTTGAGAGGAGTTGCGATGACAAAAGGTTGCCTTAGTATATTGGGCAAATAAGTTCAAAGGGGCGTAACTCCTGGAAAAACAATTGAATCGTAATTTCCTGTCGATATGCACATCTACGTAGTATGTCCTTATTATCTGAAAAGGTTTCATGAAATTCTGTTGTGTGGTTTGAGAGGAGTTGCGATGACAAAAGGTTGCAGTAGTATATTGGGCAAATAAGTTCAAAGGGGCGTAACTCCTGGTAAAAAAATTAAATCGTAATTTCCTGTCGATATGCACATCTACGTAGTATGTCCTTATTATCTGAAAAGGTTTCATGAAATTCTGTTATGTGGTTTGAGAGGAGTTGCGATGACAAACTGTTGCAGTAGTACATTAAAGTAAATAAGTTCAAAGGGGCGTAACTCCTAGAAAAAGAATTGAATAGTAATTTCCTGTCTATATGCACAACTACATAGTATGTCCTTATTATCTAAAAAGGTTTCGTGAAATTCTGTTGTGTGGTTTGAGAGGAGTTGCGATGACAAGAAACAGGACTGACGGACTGACGGATGGACGGACAGACGGGTCAAAAACATTATACCCTCCACAACTCGTTGCGTGGGGTATAAAAAAATCCCATAACTAGATGAAAAACAAATTACTTATTCTATATATACCAGTGCAAAATTTATAAAGAATTTTGAATGAAATTGGATAGCTGTTAAGATTACTGTACCTATAATGCTCTACATCACATCCTCGGAGATAACAGAATTAAAATAAGTCATATGAATCTTCCAATTTCAATAAAGTTGAATGTGTTTTTTTATACTTGAACAGCTATAGGTTTTACTATAAAACAAGTGTACATTAACTTTCTTGTAAAAGAAAAACCATAACATTAAAATCTCCATAAATGATGAACTGTTATTTTTTGAGACATCATCCCATGGAAGATTTAACTGATGTTTTAAAGTTGAAAAGTTTCTGTTGCTTGTTTGGTTGGTTGAAATTGTTTCTGTTAGAAGCATTATCAGTCTCCCAATCTGATGTTGACTGCTGTGAAAGATCAGTTGTTGTTGACACTGACAGAAAGGTTAGCTGCGAGTCTAGATCTGAAAACCACAAAACATACATACATAAATCAGGTTGTTAGTTTTCATATTTTTTCATTTTCTTATTTTGGGGCCTTTTATGGCTGAATATATATGCAGTATAGGTCTTGCTCATTGTTGAAGGCCATATGGCGTATGAAGACCTATGGCTTTACCTCTATGTCATTTGTTCTCATTGGCAATCATACCACATTTTTTTTTAATTTCATATATACCACGGACAGGAAATAAAATTGACAACTTTTACTGTAAGTGGATGCAGTTACAAAATTCTCCCAACTTAAGCCAAATCATTTTTGCAGAATAGTTATTATCCACACCTTTTAAGCATGTCCAAATAGCCCTTTACATCTTTACAACAATAATAAAATTCTCCGCAGGGCGCAGCTTGATACAACCGCAGAGGTCGAACCCTGAACAGTTGGGGCAAGTATGGACACAACATTCAAGCTTGATACAGCTCTGAATTTGGATTGTGATTAAATATTTGACACAGCATAGGTTTCTGACACAGAATGAATGTGGTCTAAGAACTTAAAAATTTTAAATTGGACATTCACCTATTATGGTCCAATATCCAAAATCTAAATACATGGTTAGATTTAGCATATCAAAGAACCCCAAGAATTCAATTTTTGATGAAATCAAACAAAGTTTAATTTTGGACCCTTTTGACCTCAATGTGGACAAAGTTGATAACGGGGCCCAAAAATCAAAAATCTAAATACATGGTAAGATTCAGCATATCAAAGAACCCCATATATTCAATTTTTGTTGAAATCAAACTTAGTTTAATTTTGGACCCTTTGGACCTTAATGTAGACCAATTTGAAAACGGAACCAAAAATTAAGAATCTAAATACACAGTTAGCTTTGGCATATCAAAGAACCCCAATAATTCAATTTTTGATGAAACCAAACAAAGTTTAATTTTGGACCCTTTGGACCTCAATGTGGACCAATTTAAAAAACGGGGCCCCAAATCCAAAAACTTAATACACGGTTAGATACAGCATATTAAAGAACCCCAAGAATTCAAGAATAAAACCCCATTGAAATTGGTCAAGAAATAAGCAATTTATACGAAGTATCTTCTTTTGCACAATACTGTGCAATTGAATATTTCTTGCTATTGCGCAATACTGTACAATTGACAATTTCTTGCTATTGCGCAATATTGTGCTAATGGATATTTCTTGCTATTGCGCAATACTGTGCAAAGAATAGGTTTCTAACACAGAATAAATATGGTATAAAGATAAAGTTTAATAGATTCAGCATATCAGAGAACCCCAAGATCAAATTAAGATTTAAAATTTAGTTTAATTTTGGACCCTTTGGACCTCAATGTAAACCAATTTCATAATAGTGCCCAAAAACTAAATACAGGTTAGATTCAGGCTGAATCAGCATCTTTAAAATTATTGTTGAAATCAAACACAGTTAAATTATGGACCCCATTTGAACCAACTTGAAAACTGGGACCAAAATCATAAATCTAAGTACATATTTATATTCAGGATATTTGATTATTTCTATTCATCATACAAAGAACCCTAATTCATTGTAATTAGAGTTCAAGTTTTGTCAAAATTAAACTAAGTTAAAATTTGGACCCTTTGGACTTTAAAATGTGGACAAATTTGAAAACAGGACCAAAATTAAAAATCTAAATTTAAAACATTTGCATTTTGTATATCAAAAGAACCTCAAGAATTCAAGTTGTGTAGAAATAAGAAAAAAAAATTTTGGACCATTTTGAAATCAATGTGAACCAATTTAAAATGGGGCCCAATTGCAACATCTTAAATTATTTAAATACATTGTTAGATTTAGCATATTAAGAACCCAAATAATGTATTTATTTTAATTTGTTCTTGTCCTAAACATGCATGAACTATTTGCCATTGGACATTAGCATTACCAACAACCAATCAATTAATCGAACAATTGAAATATCTTCAAAAGTACCAATTAAAATCTCCCCCTTTTATATTTGAAAAAGTAAAATCACAAAAATACTGAACTCAGAGGAAAATTCAAAAAGGAAAGTCCCCAATCAATTGGCAAAATCAAAAGTTCAAACACATCAAACGAATGGATAACAACTGTCATATTCCTGACTTGGTACAGGCATTTTCTTATGTAGAAAATGGTGGATTGAACCTGGTTTTATAGCTAGATAATAAACCTCTCACTTGTATGATAGTCGCATCAAATTCCATTATATTGACAACGATGCATGAACAAAACAAACAGACACAATAGGTAAAATTGTAAAAAATAGGGGTACAGCAGTCAACATTGTGTTATCATCTTAATCACTATAAAAACAAACAAATGTAACGAAGAAGCACAAAAAGGCATACATGTACATCAAATTTAACATCCTCATTTTGCTTATATTATACTATTTTATATATCTATGAAAAATCCACCCATAAAGGATGGAAGGTTTTAATTAAGTACTGGCGTAATATCGCGCGTTTGAAATTCGTACAGGTAGACATAAAATAATTTTGTCGTTCATAGTATGACGGGATACATAAATACAGTCACGTAAAATGGATATCACAAAAAACAGACTTAACAGTAAAAGTAATACGTATTAATAAATAAAATAATTGAAATGGAATGTATGAACAGTTCATTAGTCATTGTTAGTTATTGAATGGAAACTATAGGAGCCGCCCAATATAGTACTACAAATTAAAATTAGCAAAGTGATTTTTCAACGGGAAAACCAAGTTAACAAAGACCTGTTTAATAAAACTGATGTACAAATGTATAACATGTAATTGTATAATTATGTTATTATATAAGTGATTACATATACTTTGTATGATTACCATGTTATACAAACAGTTAAATTAATATATAAGTTAATAATAACTTACCAATATCTTCTTCTATACATGTATTTAGTTTGACCAGGCTATTGTCACTTTTACAAAAATTCATCTTAATTGAGCATTGCTTGCATATATATAGCCCTACAAATAAAAAGTGTTAAAACTATAAAATAATTCTTCAATTTTGTTTTACATGAAATAAAATATATCAGACAGGAAATGTAGGGTAGTGTAGCATCACTGTGCATGTAGTTTAAATGTATGTTTTTTTCTTTTAAAAAGGTACTCTATAAGTAATCTACATACATGTACATGTAGGGTCCTAAAATTGAACCTTACAAAAGTTTGCAATGCTTTTGATTTTTTTAGTCTCCATGGCCTATTAGTTCATTAAAAAAATATTATTCTCTGGATAAAGTTGTCTAGTGTTACATGTACAGTTTGTTGTATGTAAAACATGTATTTGTAGGAGGCTTTTCCACGAGATAAAAAATTTTTTTAGTACACAAAGAGCTGAACAACTTCCAGTAAGAACTGAAAATATAACTTAGGGGAAGAGAATAAAAACCTGACCTGCTAAACGTTGAATATGTTGAAATAGATTTTGATTATTATCATCATGATCATGATTCTGGTCTATAAATAGATTTTTTAAAGCAGAAAATAAATATATTGTACCCTGGTTAATAGCTTGAAAATTAAAATTCTGTCCTAAGCTTACAAGGACATAAATATTTTGACCATTCTAACCCTCCCCCTTGCTTTTTTAATCAAATGGCCCCAAGACAGAACAATGTATATACGGATATATATTATTTGCTTGCACTTTGCCATAGGAAATAAATAAGATGTCTTAGAAACAGGTCAGGTGTAAAAGAATATTCACATGCCCCTTCAACACCCACCTCCCCCTTTTTTTAATCTAGCTAATGTATCAATTGTTGGTCCCCTAATTTCAGATTGACTATATGGAACAAATGAAAATTGATTGTAAGATTTGTACCTGTTCCTACTGGAATAACTCGTCCTGTATACAGCCTGTTTTGAAAGGGTGAAGATCCTTGGTCAGCTTTGGCTTTGCTGGAAGAGGGTTGGACGAGATGTTGACATCTTGCTTGACTATCATGTCAATGAATTCCATAAAAGTCCCTGTACTTCGAGCATATTCAAAGACAAGATGATGTAACAACCATGGGAAAATAAACCACTCCTTGTCTTATATAAAATAAGGAGTCCTGTTGGAAATTCTACACCATTAAGTTTTCAGTATTATTCAGACTTCCTAAATGTAGATGAATGGTAGTCTGTATCTGTATGAATATGTTTGGTTACCAATGCTGGTTTCAATACCACGGTAGAGTCTACCGTAGAGAGAGTGTCGTTGATTTATTGATGGTGCGCCAGAGCAGTTTTGACACTCTCAATCTCAATTTTGGTGCGAGCAAGGTGGTTCCACTGGCTCACTTTTTTTTTTACGAAGAATGATTTAGAATACTTTTGTTTTGCTCGTTGAAATCTAAAAACACTTTTTGCTGTTCATGGACTTATTTTTCCAATCAATATTTATCATGTTTATTCACTAAATTATTGTCATGATTGTCAAATTTCTTGGCAGTAATTATTTTTTTTGGAAATGCTATTTTGGTCTTTAGTGCATTCAGATATCTTAAATAGTTTGTAATATGTAGATGTATAAGGCTGGGATAGCCCACATGCTCATCCTAGATTATTAAAGTCACAAACTTCACTGTAAGCATTTGTCTGCCAAACTACACTGGGAGCTGACATGTTTGAGATCTTACCCAAGGGAGATAAGTCAATGGAAGAGCATAAAAGATGGACTCCCTGGTTTCAGACAATTTATTGATTTTTGGACTTGCAGTACAAATACGTCTTATTTCATTTTTCAGACAAATTGATTTTACTTGTTCGAATGATTTTATGAGCCATTTTAGTACCAATTGTGTTTAGAATTTAATTAAAATCAAAATCAAAATGTGTCAATTTGGGACTAAAATCACCATTCTTCCAAGGCATAAATTAACATATAATAGTCATTTGCCAAGCTTAATATTTTGTTTTGATATAAAACATACCCCATAGTTAAAACCGATATAAGTTGCAAACAAATCCGGAATGGGTCTTGCAAGATAGAAGCGAATGAAAACCACGTAAATTCATGTATGAAAAACCCCGCCTTTGTGTCCCTGCTCCTGGCAATGTGCCAAATCGTTTAAATTTTCATTTGTATTGATCATAACATAGTAAAATGGATGAGTTTCAGCTGACATTACTCTAAAAACTCAACTACCCCATTTAATATGCTTCTGGGTCATTCTTAAAAGGCATAAAAAAGTTGGATTTTTCCTTGGTTTCATTATGAATTTACAGAATTATGCAAATGAGGCTGTTACTAAAAATAGATACGATTCTGGGAAAAATTAAGTGGTCAAATTCTTTTATTTTATGTCAAGGATTAAGATGATGTATAAAAATTTGTCAAGTTGTGATTGTCGATTTGGACGATTTTCTGAATATTGCATGGTTTTCTGGCGGATTGGCTCTTAAGTACTTGATTTGGAAGATCTCCAATGGTATCTGGAAACTAAGTATATAGCTACACATAGAAAAAGGGAAAAGCAGTTTTTATGGAAATATTAAAAATATCAAAGCAGCAGTCAGGGATTACAAATTGAAGATTGGGGGACCCCATAGACAAAAGACAGACTGGTCTATATAACATTGTAGAACGCAGAAAACTAGAAATTCAGTAACACAAGCCTCACTTTAATAAAGTGGTATTTTTTTGTGTTTTAGCCAGTATCAGGGAAGTTGTTCCTACTCTTTCTAATCCTGTAGTGGTACCATTATATTATGAATAAAAGATGGGGGAGGATGGGGGTTTAAGTTAATGAGACAACAATTCTATGACACAAATAACTGTAAAACATCAAGAGGTTAAGAACAAACATGTTATGACAATATTCTATGATAAGACATCATCTTTAAATTAAACTTGCGGTCAGATGACAGTTTTTGCTCCATGTTGGATGGCATAGCTTTCAGTGAAATGGAGAACTTTGCCAAGAAAGTTTAAACCAATTTTATTTCTAAGACAAAGAATATGTAACACCATGGCCGAGAGAAACAGCACAGAAAATGAAAAGTAAGATATTGGCAGAAAGCTAGCTTAAAAGTGTATAAAATAAGGTGACTGTGGGTTGGTTACACTGCCCTGATCAACTAATACTCAAAATGGAGTAGTCTTGGAAATTCAGTTGTGACAGAACTAATGTATTAAAGATTCAGTAAAGAATTCTTAGAAGTTTATTTTTATAGATATGTTAATTCTCACCTTAAGTAATTTCAGTAAACTATACTACAGGGATTAGTCTGATCTTAGTAATCCCAATAAAGGATACAAAAGAGATTAGTCTCCAACTCCGAAATAGATTCCAGTTTGTCTGCAATATATTCATTACATGTTGTCACATGATTAGTTTGAAGGTATATGGAACAACGTTCTTCAATTTGAATAAAGCATTCAGTTTTGCTCTATCATAAACTTTCTGTTTTAAAGAATTTTTGAGATCTGCTGGTTTTGTCAGATTGATGCACAGTTTATAAAATATGAAGGCTAAAATTTCAATGGCTGATGGAATAATTACCAGAACAGAAAGTAAAACGTAGTGTTGTTAGATCCTTGTAAGTAAAGCTTGGACACCGGATCTGTATTTTAATCAGATTGGATGTGAATCAAATGTATTGATATGTCGGTTGAATGCTTAAACTTAATTTCTAATTTCAGTACGATTACATGACAGTATACAAGATGAAGGTTGTCATTATTTAGTTTTTGATTTGTAAGTATACAGTTTGTACACGATGCTAAAAACCACAACACACAGACAGAGTACTAATTTGGGCAGTGAATCATTTGCTGTTCTAGAGTTATGCCCTTGCTAACTTGGAAAATTGCAAAACTTAAGCGGAGGCATTCCTGTCCTCAGACACCAGACACATTCTTCTTTTATTAACAAGAAAAACCTTTAATTATTCTGGAATCTGCTATGACAACATTCTCCAGTTTTTCAACTCTGATTTATAACTTCTATTTTACAAAAAGCTACTTACCACTATCCATTTACCCACAACATGAAGTTATAGCTACTTTATTTATTGGATCATAGATTTTCAGACATGATCCAACTTACAACTGGCATGGTTACCACTACTTAATAAATAAAAATAATTGATGAAGAAAACCTCATTTGTAACGAAAAGACTAGTTACTTCAGGTTTTAATTATCTCGCCTTGACGGAGTAAAAAAGTGAGACATAGGTATGCTGTTTCCGGTGTTGGTGACGGCGGCGGCGGCGTCAACAATGTATTAGTTTGTGGTTAGGTCTAGTTCATGGTGAACCACTAGTGGTAGGTCAGTGATATTTTGTATGCAGTTGTATAAGTATTGGCACATCTCATTACCATGGAGATTATTTGGCCCCGCCCCCTCAGTCAAGGTCTATTGACTTTGAAACTTTGCTTAATTTACATGTATTAGTTTGTGATAAGGTCAGTTTATGGGGAACCACTATTGGTAGGTCAATGGTATTTGGTATGCAGTTGTATAAGCATTGGCATATCTCATTTCCATGGAGATTATTTGGCCTCGCCCCCTCATTTATGGTCTATTGACTTTGAAACTTTTGCTTAGTTTTCATGTATTAGTTTGTGATTAGGTCAGTTTAAGGGGAACTATTAGTGGTAGGTCAATGATAATTGGTATGCAGTTGTATAAGCATTAGCTTCAACATGTTACCTTGCTCAGATGGTTTAAAGACAAACTAGTTTGTAAGGCTCCCGTACAATAAACCCGCGTCAGCAACACTCAGAAACCAATTGTGGATGGGTGAGTGTCACCTGCTGCCCAGACGTCCGAGGGCTATGTGTATCAGTTTTAGTGCAATTTGAAGTCATCTACTACAGAGTCCATGATTCATCTACCAGCAACACATTGCCATGGTTAGTGGGCTGCCCAGCTGATCAACCTGGCCCTGAAAGCAGCCGTTGTGGAGTCCATACTGCAAAGAAACATCAAAATAGTAAAAAACCAAAATCAAAACAACTCACGTAAACCAAGATGGCCGCCTACCAAAATGGCGCCTTCCACCTGTTCCTGACCAACTGCAACAGAAAATATTTAATGCTCAACAATCGCCTCTGGGTAAGAGCTGACCAAGTGAGGGCTGTATAGCCAGTCATGGTCTATTGACTTTGAAACTTTTGCTTAGTTTACATGTATAGACGGGTTTATTCACGTCTTATCTCAAAAACATGTGCGCTGCCATTAAGAGGTCACGTGGTGCGTCGGCCATAGCACTCGTGAATGATAACGCACGTGCAATCAATAATCTATATAGTCTATATAATTATCGGTCATTTATAACGTTTTTGTTTCACATATTTCATGTTTATATGACCATGGCAAGTAACGAAAAATATAGGAAAGGGGGTGGAAATTCTTGTGCTGTTAATGGATGTTCTAATAATCGTCGTAAATTAAATGATTGGAACGTATCATTTTGTGAATTACATGGACAAAATCACGAAGACTGTTCTTGTTTGGTTCCATTTAAACTACATGTTATGCCCGCTAATGAGACAAAACGATTACAGTGGATTAAAGCTTTAAATAGAAAAACACTTCCAAAGCAAGTATTCGTATGCTCGGATCACTTTCTAGACGGAGCTCCGACGGAACAAAATCCTTTCCCGAAATTAAATCTTGGGTATGAATGCCAGACAACCCCCGGTAGACGTAAACTGTCGAGACAAGAACCAGAGAGTAGAAAAAGAAAACGTTTACTAGAAGAAAGCAGTAGTACCGAGACGTGTGTTAACATTAATCAGACTGAAGGACCGTCTAGTTCTGAACTGCTTCCAGAAGCTTTTTGTGATTTTAATGTGGTTAATCCACCTACGGCATCAGTTGGAACACAATATGTCGATTCTGATTATATGACTTCTCAGGATCACATGTATTCAAAACCCTGGTCGGACACACAGAATACCTTTACTCAAACAAATACGGCGTTAACTGAAGAAAAGGGGGTTCAAATTAAAATTGAAAGTAGCGCTATGTCCGCAAAAATAAGTATAGTAACGGACAGTGACTCTTTGTTATATACTGGTGTAAGTAAAGAAGTGTTCTTTACGTTAGCAGAGGTTATGTCAGAAGTAAATACATTTAACTTTCAACTTGAAGTCGCAGACCAGTTACTACTAGTGTTGATGAAACTTAAACTAAACTTGCTGTTTGATGACTTAGCTCGTAGATTTGGAATTTCTAAAAGTTTAGCTAGTAAAATGTTTAATGCTTGGATGCCAGTCCTTGCAGAAAAACTTAAGGACTTAGTTGCATGGTTGCCGAGGGAAACAATACGAGCATGTTGTCCCGAATCTTTCCGAGAAAATTACCCTCGCACCACTGTAATAATAGACTGTGCCGAAACATTTATACAACGACCTACGAACTTGAAAACTAGAAGTGAAACTTTCAGTAATTACAAGTCGCACAATACCGCAAAATATTTAGTTGGAATATCTCCACATGGACAAATAATGTTTATTTCCAAAGCTTTTGGCGGCAGAGCTAGTGACAAGTTTATCGTGGAAAAGAGTGGATTTTTAAACTATTTATTGCCGGGAGACGAAGTAATGGCAGATCGTGGATTTACAATTGAAGATTTTCTTTTTCCTCGTCGTGTAAAATTAAACATTCCTGCATTTACAAAATGCAAACCCCAGCTTTCCAATGAAGATGTCACAACTACTAGACGTATTGCACATGTACGAATACATGTAGAGCGTGCTATTCGTAGACTGAAAGTTTTTAAAGTTTTAAGTGGAACTGTACCAGTGTCGTCTTTAAAGAATTTTTATGACATTCTTATTGTTTGTTCTGCATTGGTAAATTTGAGATCAGATTTAATACGGGATGTCAATGTAGATACGGATTGAATATAATTACATTGTAAATTGTATTTTTTGTCCTTCATTTTTTTTTATTACATTTTTATTCAACCTTCAGATTGTTTTATTTTAATTAATTGATTTCCATAATTGACTTGATTGAAAGAATTCAGGAAGTGTGATATATGTCAATGAGACTGTAACCCAACAATAAAAGTTAGATTAAATCATCAAAAACTCTTCAATGAAAAGTGGACTAAATCTCCTGTCTTGGATGTCATTAAATGTAAGTGTGTATAAACTAGCTTGGAGACGATAATTCCTGGTCTTCTTATTATTATTGTTGTTATGAACAATGTAAAAGATAGTTGTATATTAAATTATATATATATACTGGTAATCATAGACCTGCTCATTACTTTTTATTATTAAATTGTATCGAATTATAAGCATCTGGACTTATCAACATGATCAAAGTAGGAATTACGGGTCTCCTGAAGTGAACTCCTGGGGTAATACATTACGTTTACATGTGAAGGTAAACAAGTCAACACTGTTTGCCTTTCCAACTGTGATTATCCCTAGTAAATTACACACATGTCTATGAAGTCTGCTTGTCCAAACATCAACATTGCATACCAATGTGTTATCTCATTAATATGAGATAATTATCAAATTTAAGAATTGTTTTTCAGACTAGTGTACATGTTTACTCCATGTAATTATATATAACTAAACATTTAATTCAAAATGCTATTTATTAAGTGTGTGATTTTGCATGCACTTTTACTAAACATGCTAAACGATGACCTAGATTAAGTGATAGTGTTTAACGTCCAGTGGTAAATATTACATGAATATTGCGATGAGAATATGTTACTGTTATACATTCCTTGTACTATTAACCAGTTGAGCTAAATCAGTGGTTGTCATTGGTTCATGTCGGTCATATTTGGTTTTTGTAGATTCTTTTGTGATAAATTAGGCTGTTTGTTTTCTCAATTGAATATAATTGTTTCATAATTTTTTTTATGTTTGGGCCTTTCATTTATTATGGGTCTTTCTCATTGTTGACAGTGGATATTTGTCTCATTGGCAATCATACCACATCTCCTTATTTTTATATTAATATACTGTATTATTACAAGGACACATTGTTTAACTCTGAGTCAACTAGTCTTTACTTCTAAACCTACATATACATTGTAAATTCTGTCAAAAATATACACATGTATACTGTATGTGTGCTTAGCAGAGATGTCTGACCTGGTAGGGGTTTAAATCCTTAACTTCCTTGGCCATACATTGATTTACAAGTACAAATGCTTACAGGGTCAATCTGAATCTTAAGATAAAATGAACAACTTAAAGCTTTAGACCATAAAATTATTATTATTGTAAAAATCTATCTCATAAAATTACAAAACAGTCTACTGAAAGTGAGACGATCACTGTCTACTTCATCAACAATTCTGGGAATCATTTTTCTCACATAAAAGTCTTTTAATCTTTGGACTTGTTCACGAACATATTCCTGGTCATAATCGACATTTATTAAAATAAAGTCATCCGGACACCTCCACAGGTACAGTTTGCCTTTTCGAAGGCCAGTACAGTACATAGTCAATTGAATCTGCATGTAATAACCCCTACTTCCTTTGACTTTTATTTGATAATGTCCTTCTGGGGTTTTAATTACATCATATTTCCCACCATTTATCAGTTCTTCAAGTGTATTCAATTTTGTTGGAACTGGACATTTAACCTCAAGTAATGTGTCACCATTTAAAATTCCATCTGGACTACTAGAAAGCCACTGTTCCTCAGTTGAGACATACATGCCGGTATCTATAATAATATTTCCCAGTGACCGTAGGTTCTCTTTAGCCACAGGTTCCTGCTGCGTACCATGTCTCGTATATTTGTTCCCTGTAAATTTGGGATGCAAATGTTCCCTAATAAATGCTGTTGCATCAGTTGTGTCTTTAATTGGCACTTTAGTTGCACTGCTTGCAGTTATGTGCAATTTCCTTGCATCTTTCCATAAAACACTGCTACTTTGACCTTTTGTTCCAAGTTCCAGGTTTTTCCTTTTTGTGTCATTAAGTTCAATATATTTATTGAAAAAGGTATAACATTTCCTACATGAACTAATAGAAGTATGTTCGCCATGCTCCTCTTGGATTATCACATTAGACATAGGTGTACAATTAAAACTTTTGTAAACAGTTGTTCCTTTTATTTCGAACAGTTTGGATATAGGTGAATTCTTTATAGCTGCCTTAAATTCTGCATCTGAGGAAAATAGAGGAGTGTCACGAACGCTCGGCACATAATCCTCATTATTTTCCATGACAGATTCGCCAACCTTGGGCTTCTTAAATGTTATATTGGAGAGTGCCTTTGGTTCCACATTCCTTGTGGTCCCTTTATTCCATTGAGCACTTTCATCAGTGCAGGCAATCCCAGTAAGACTATTTCTCACAGCATGTTCCAACTTCCAAAGAAGAGCCCCAACATGACTACACGCATGACATCGGCCTGCCATACACGAACACCATCCATTTTTCACTGTGCCATCTTGTGTAGAATGTACATAAACACTGTTCATTCTCGATACTGTTTGGGAAGAACGGACTTCTGCCCTCATTAAAAACGTATTGTCAGTATAAACATGGTGCGTAATAGCTCCGACATTTCCACTTTGAAAGTGATTATAACTTTGCAGGCTTTTGAAATTCTTCATTTCTTGACCATCGACAGCTTTTGACGAAATTAAAAAGTTGTACACATCACCGTACATAACATTTGGCCATACCCTCATATCGTCTGCCCATGTTGTTATTTTATCTAAGCCTGGTGGATTCAGATTATTCATTTTGGTTGTATCAACAATAAAATTATGTGTGTTCAGATAGCGTGCTTTCTCTAATGTTTACAATTTTTCACGACCTTAATGGCCCGAGAACACAGTTATTTCGTAGTGCATTTCTTTTAGACAATAAATTCAAATTAAAAAAATCGCACCTGCTCTATCTCAAAAAGATTTTTACAGTGTAGTGTACTACTATTGATACAAATAATATCAAAATTATAGAAACTTCTACCAGCTCTAACTCAAAATATTGACAATTCTGTGTTAAGGGGGGCTAAAATTCAGTTTGACAGCTTCAGACATTCTAATTTTTGACCTTTTTTAACTGGACCAAATCACTACTTAACATAAAGATTCAGCACCCAAATTTTTTTAACATGTAATTTCATCCCCTTACTTAATATTTCATGCATAAAATATCAAGAAATAAATTGGGAAAGTGTATCAAAAAAAAATGCAAGTTATACACTGTTCACACTAGGGACTATATTCGTAGACAACGAAAACCAAAGGACGATAACTGTGTCCTTGGACCTAATAGGATAGAAAGACTTGACCAATTTTAATAAAACTTTGCATGACCTAACCCTAGGCAATTATAAGATAGTTGGCCAAGTTTCATGGCCATAGAATATATATTATAGAAACTAGGGCCATTTTAATATTGAAATTTGGATGTTTATTTTTGACGTTTAAATCAAATATTTTCAACTGTCAAGATTTTGGCCTTAAAAATTTAAATGTTGCAAAAATTTGCTTTTTAAATACTCTTGAATTTAATATAATAAGTATTAAAAGCAACGGAACACTCATTTGATTTATCAGATTTATTACAGTTATTCAAAAGTCAAATTTATATGAGCCTGTGCCTGAAAATAGAGATTTTCGAATTAAGGGAAGCCTTACATAAACATGCATTTTTTTCAACCAATTTGAAGTTTTTGAAGTTTTTTATCCATACATTATTCTTTCATATATATTAAATGTACTTTAAATGTAAAGAAAAGTTACAAAAAGCATACCACATGAGTATAAAATGGTCTTAGGCCATGTAAGACTGAGAATTATTTAGAGTCGATTTAGGCCGTAGCCCATATTTACATATAAAAATGCACACAGAGGCTATAAGACATTGAAATTTGTTACTTTTTGCTCATTTCTATGCTAAGATGTCATGATACAAGAAGTCTAATTGCAAAAGGACTCTTGAATTCAACTTTTTTTTGCAGACAGTATGGTCTGTTGACCAGTTTTTCACTTTTCAATGGAAAACTTGCATGTAGTTTTAGTCTCATTTGGCATATATTTGAACCACTTACTATCCTAAAGAAAAAAAATTATGGTAGCATATGAAATGAATAGGGTGTACTGATCATTGTAAAGTGTTTTTTTTACAGATTTAGTGAAATATTTGTGATGGACTACAGATTTTATGTACAAAGCTCTTCACATTTCACATACATCAAACAGGCCGTTTAACCAGGGACATAAATACAAATATTCTGCACATTTTTTCTGTGATAATATACTTTTCTCTAGATTGCGAGTTCACAAATGGTTAATTAAATTTGATTTAAGCATAGAAACACAAATATCAGGAACATAAAAAGCTGTCAGATAGAAAGTCAGCATGGCTCTTGGGCATAAAATGGAAACTGCTTTAAAATGCTTATTTTAGCCGTATAATGCCAAAATGGGACATTTTAACAGAATTTCTGTCAAACAAAGATGTAAATCCTTTACTTTTATCGAGTTTGACAAATTAAAACCAGCAAACCATTCAGGAAAGTTGCCAAAGTACAGAATCTACATTCACGGAATCCATCTCTTAGGCCCGAGAACACAGTTATTTCGTAGTGCATTTCTTTTAGACAATAAATTCAAATTAAAAAAATCGCACCTGCTCTATCTCAAAAAGATTTTTACAGTGTAGTGTACTACTATTGATACAAATAATATCAAAATTATAGAAACTTCTACCAGCTCTAACTCAAAATATTGACAATTCTGTGTTAAGGGGGGCTAAAATTCAGTTTGACAGCTTCAGACATTCTAATTTTTGACCTTTTTTAACTGGACCAAATCACTACTTAACATAAAGATTCAGCACCCAAATTTTTTTAACATGTAATTTCATCCCCTTACTTAATATTTCATGCATAAAATATCAAGAAATAAATTGGGAAAGTGTATCAAAAAAAAATGCAAGTTATACACTGTTCACACTAGGGACTATATTCGTAGACAACGAAAACCAAAGGACGATAACTGTGTCCTTGGACCTAATGGCGACCGGATATCGATGACCTCGTGCGGACATGTGCAATACTAAGGGGGATAATTAGAAAGACCCGTCTATTAGTTTGTGATTAGGTCAGTTTAAGATGAACCACTAATGTTAAGTCAATGATATTCGGTATGCAAATGGATTGGCATTTGCAAGTTTCATTTCCATGGAGATTATATAACCCCACCCCCTAATTATGGTTCATTAACTTTGAAACTTTTACATAGTTTACAAGTTAATGTTTATGTTTACGTTTGTTTAAAGGGAACAACTTATGAAAAGTCAATGGTATTTGGTTTGCAGTTGTATTAGCATTGGCACATCTCATTTCCATGGAGATTGTTTAGCCCTGTACCTTCAGTCATGGTTCATTGACTTTGAATATTTGCATAACTTACATGTTAAAGTATTGCTATTTTAATTTCAACATTTGCATTATCAAAATAACAAATAGGCGAGACATATCTCTGTGTTAACAGTTTATTTTCTTTTTCTTTTTAGGATAACTAACTGACAGTGAATTATTTGAAGATATAGCTATATATAGTTGTGTTTTCTTTTTAGGGTAACTGGTGGTGAATTATTTGAAGATATAGTTGCTAGAGAATTTTATAGTGAAGCAGATGCCAGGTATACTTATTACACACACATATCTACTGTAAAGCTTAATAATACATAGTCATTGTTCAATCATTAGAATATTTTCATTTAAAAGCATTTTCTTCACACAGAAATTTCATTCATGTAGCTACAAAGTGTAGTTGGCAATCATACCACATCTCTTTATTTTTGTATTTCAAAATGGTATACATACATATTTTTAAAGAGTGTCAACACTATCAAAAATTTGTTTTAAAAATTATGTGTTATGGAATTTAGTTTCAAGAATTAAAAGGATCTGAATTCAATTAATTTTATGAAGAGTTTCTTGAAATAGATATAAACATGTCCGAAATCTGATGCTTTTGCTCGATAAAATCACAGTCTTTCATTCATTGATGTCTAATTCTTGTGTATTTCTTAAATATAACTATAAAATGAGGTTACTATTATAAGAAAATGTGATAAATTCACAAATTTAAAAAAAAAACGACTATCAAATAAAATTACATCTCCTTCATAGATTCTTTGTTTTATGCTCAGTTTAATAGTGTCCATCTACCTTGACAGACTTGAGAAAGATTTTTTGGGGGTTTTTGATTATGAAAAAATCAAAACATTTACTAAGGTCTGGATGAGGGTCATTCTTTATTCTTTAAACCCTTTTCTCTATTCTTTAATTCTTTAAACCCCTTTTCTCTGTTCTTTATTGATTTTTCCCATTATTCTCTTATCTTTATATTTTTACACCCCTTTATTCTCTATTCTTATATGTTTTTTGCCTTTTTTTCCTTTATTGTGAACTTTTTGCCCATTATCCTCTTTTCTGTAAACCTCATCCAGAACCTCAATAATGTATAATACAGAATTTTGATAGTTTAACAAGAGTATATGAAAAGAGATACTTTCATGGCAACTTGTTCTAAATATTTTTTTTTTTTTTTTTTTTTTTTTTTTTAACGACATTATATATTTATTCACCAAATATGCTTGTTACATTGTTACACCAAGAAACCAAGCATTTCTTGATGTATCCTGTTATATTCCACTGATTACCCAGGTTAGTAGTCAGCTGCTGGTATATATGTATATATTATAATAATATGTATAAATTTCTTGAAATACAATTTTACAACATTTTAATGCATTATGTTTTATTCTATTCAATCGTCTAAACTTCTTTTTAGTGACTTAAGTAATGGATTAAATTTCATTGTTCTGTTTTCGTTATATCTTTTAATGTATTCTTGAACAAAAATTTGATAAACATTTACATTTGTCAATTTCTGATTAGATACATAATATGATTTATAAATAGAAAAACCTAAAATTGTTAGGAAATAATTCAGACCAAAATAATTTTTGTCAAAAATTTTATATCCGAAGACTAATTGCTTTAACGATATTCTAAAATTTAAATTTGATTTTATCATTAACTCATAAATACTTTTCCAAAATTTTTCTAAAAATCGACAAGAAATAAAAAAGTGGTTATAATCTTCTTCTTCGTTACATACATTACATAGACCGTCATTCTTCTGTTTCCATTTAAACAATAAGTGTTTTGTTGGTAATATGAATTGTAAAAGTTTCCATCTATATATTTTTAACTTATTCTCTTCTAAATAATGAAACATGAAAACATATAGTTGGTTAATACTAAGGTTCTCATTAATTTGTAAAATACGCATCCATTTGCTAACACCAATTGATGGTTCAATTTTATCTTTACAAATTGACTTATATAATATATTTGTTGAAAAGCTTGAAGCCTCAATGTAATTTCCTTTCCAGATCAGTTTCTGTCTAGGAATATTTACAATACTTTTAATAGAATTTTCAGACTTTAACATCTGAAGCCAGTCTTTTGGGATGGCTTTTTTTAAAATATTTATTTCTGCAATCCAATTATTCTTGCAGTCTAATTTTTATACGACCGCAAAAAAATTTTTGTGGTCGTATATTGGTATGACGTTGGCGTCGTCGTCCGAATACACATTAGTTTTCGCACTCTAACTTTAGTTTAAGTGAATGGATCTCATTGAAATTTTACCATAAGGTTCAATACCACAAAAGGAAGGTGGGGATTGATTTTGGGGGTTATGGTACTAACAGTTAAGGAATTAGGGGCCAAAAGGGGCCAAAAATAAGCATTTTTGTAACTTCCAGACATAACTTGTGTGTAAGTGTATGGATCTCTCTGACATTGTACCACAAGGTTCCATATCACAAAGGGAATGCTGGGATTGATTTTGGGGGTAATTGTCTCCAAATTTTAGGAATTAGGGGCCAAAAAGGGGCAAAAAACAAGCATTTTTCTAGTTTCATGACAATAACTTGTTTGTAAGTGTATGGATCTTTATGAAATTGTACTACAAGGTTCCATATCACAAAGGGAATACTGGGATTGATTTTTGGGGTAATTTCCTCCAAATATTAGGAATTAGGGGCCAAAAAGGGGCAAAAAACAAGCATTTTTCTAGTTTCATGACAATAACTTGTTTGTAAGTGTATGGATCATTATGAAATTGTACTACAAGGTTCCATATCACAAAGGGAAGGCTGGGATTGATTTTGGGGGTTTTCCCTCAAAATTTTAGTAATTAGGGGCCATAAAAGGGCAAAAAAAACATGCATTTTTCTAGTTTCAGGACAATAACTTGTGTGTAAGTGTATGGATCTTTATGAAATTGTACTGCAAGGTTCCATATCACAAAGGGAAAGCTGGAATTGAGTTTGGGGGTAATTGCCCTAAACGTTTAGGAATTTGGGGCCAAAAAGGGGCAAAAAAACAAGCATTTTTCTAGTTTCCAGACAATAACTTGTGTTCAAGTGTATGAATCTCTCTGAAATTGTACTGCAAGGTACCATACCACAAAGGGAAAGCTGGGATTGAGTTTGGGGGCGATGAATCATAAGGGGGTTCAAAAAATTGGGGGGGGGGATTTTTTTTTTCCTTTTTTTTTCTTTAACATTTTCCATTTTAAATTGGTTATTTCTGATTTATATATAAAAGCAAATAATAATGATATGGTTTGAATAGGCATACATGTGAACCTCCCGACGGGAGTACAATAATCCCGTTTTCAGGGGTCTCCTCCCCCCTCCCGTTGAAAAAATCCCGTGTATGAAATTTTTCATGAATGAAAAATTTCTGCCCAACATAACATCTCAGGCATCTGGTGTAACTGACATTACCTGAAGTTATATTTTACCTGTAAATCAATTAACATGCATAATTATATGGCTTCACTTGTCAGCTTGGGTGTCAAACATACTGGTAAGCAACGATTTTTACCTCAGGCTAACTGCCGTTGTGTAACAAAAACTGTGTATTTATTGGGTTACTTCCCTTGATTTATCCTGTTTTAAGTTACTTTCCTTTTAATAATGAAAATTTTTAAAAGAATATAAATAAAATATAAATTGAACAAATAATCATAAAAGGATGGTTATTAAATGATTTTAAATGTCTTAGGACAAATAAAAAAATAATAATTTGAAAATTATTTGAGGATTCTATACTTCCTTTTAAGGCTTAAATTGAAATTTATATAATAACTATGAGTATGACCCTAACTTTACAGATAGAATGAATTTCTGAGTTTGCAAATAAAAACTATTTGCAAGAGAAAAAAAAAAAAATAAAAACTATTTGCAGACAGCTAAACAAATGTTCTGGTTGCAATGATTGTTTTATAGAATATGAAGTAAAAAATTTAAAGAACATACTGGAAATAAACAATGTTAGATTGAACATGTAGAATATAAAGATGGAGAAACTTTATAAGTACAAGGGTACTATAAACATAATAAATTGGTTGGAAAGTTGAAGAAAACACACTTTAAAAGACCATTTTTACAGCACACGGTTACATTTACAACAAAATTAATGTCGATTAAAAACCTCCTGATCTGAGTCCTAATCTCCTGACCAAAATTTCCCAATCTCCTGATCCGAGTTTCACAGTCCATCACATGTATGAATAGGTAAATTGAAAATTTTTAAGTTCTTAGACCACTTTCATTCTGTGTCAGAAACCTATGCTGTGTCAAATATTTAATTACAATCCAAATTCAGTGCTGTATCAAGCTTGAATGTTGTGTCCATACTTGCCCCAACTGTTCAGGGTTCGACCTCTGCGGTCGTATCAAGCTGCGCCCCAGCGGAGCATTTTATTGCAGAATAAAATGTTGAGATATATTACCAGTGTCATCTATAATATCATTGACAAATATCAAGTTACTCTTAATCCAATTTTCAAAAATAATGGTTTTATTTTCAAAATTAATCAGTTTGTTCCCCCAAATTACCTGATTTCTTATTTCTGTGAAGTTGGTAGGTTTTTTTGTCTGTCCACCACCTGATATTACCCAACATTTAAATACTTCTCTATAAAATTCAGGGATGTGTTTTATATATTCTAGAATTTTCTTCTTTTCAAAATTCATCTTAAAAATCAACCAATTAATACCCACCACACTGAGATATTTTAATGGAATCAACTTCCAGTTTGAAATATCATTACTAATGTTCTAAATATTTGTTGTTGAGAAGAATACTAAAAGGAAACAATATTTTGGCTATTTTAATTTATACATATTTTATAGCAGAAAAATATTCTTACTTGCAGTGTTAGAGGCTTTCGAATTCTGATACTGATTTGAATATTCTCCATGAATATGCATGAATTTTGTTTCAGACAGGCTGTTTATACTACTGAAGAAATTTGACAGATTTTCTGGAATTCACTATCATAAATTAATTCAGGTACATTCAGAATAATATGTAAACTTGATCATTTCAGTCACTGCATTCAACAAATCTTAGAAGGTGTAAACCATTGTCATCAAAATTATGTTATACACCGAGATTTAAAGGTGGGTCTGCCGTCCAGTTCTTGTTGCATGTCCCCGCTGGCCAGTGATACTGTAGTCATATGATTTCTTAAAGCTTAATGATTTAGGGTTTTGTGGTAGTGATGAAATAGCAGGAACCTCTGAATAAAAATTTTAAAAAATATGGAATTTTCAGCTTTGAAACACATGTAGTGAATGATATAGAATAAGATGATTTTTTTCCAAAAATTGAGCTCATAAGGAGCATAGTACAATATCCGACATTATTTTATATATATAAAGAAAGGTTTAATAATAATAAATATAGGAAGACGGTTCTTACTTAAACTTGGAAAAATTGTTTTTATGATCTATATCATATAATATTTTTGATGATAGTATGAGAAAACCAGGAAAAATAATTCAGTTGATTTTATTTTTCATTAGAAATGCTATTAAGACATGTGCTAAAGATATACGTATAACAGCTATCTTATTTTAAGTCAATATCTTTACAATATCAGAAATTTTATGTAGGACTTGTTCATTTTTCTTTACTTCTTTCATGATTTTGATTTAAAGACAGTGGGCATATTAAAAGACATGTAATTGGTTTAAATTCCATAAAAGATTTTGGTCACTTTCCTGCTTGACGCTGTAAATATCTGATAAATTGTTTAAAATAGAAGTTATAGGAATTGACGTATGATAGAATAGTAATTGATATTTCCTTTACACAAATAATCTGACTTTTATCCATGATACTATTGATGGAAATCATGTTGACACAGGTATTTTTTTTTATTTAGTAACAATTAATAATAAAATCAATGTTTCATGAGTGGTTAGGTTTATATTAAGTAAATTCATGAAGGCTAAATTGTTAAAAAAAAAAACGGAAAAAAATCCGTATTAAATGATTTAATGTAGGATTTTTCTTATTAGCCCCATCACCAAAATTATATATGAAGCTGATTCTTTGTAAATAGTTTTGTGTTTGTTGTCAGACATAAATTTCTGCAGTTTTTCTACAGCACTTCTTTGCAAAGCTTAACTGTGTAGGCTGTTTTGCAGTATGGCATATTTGCTAGCTTGAGTGAAATTTGAATGATTGAAGCTGTGGTTATTTTATTCTGCTTTGATATTAGAAAAAAAAACATCTTTTATAGAAAAATAATCATTAGGGATTTGATAAGTTAGTGAATTAGTTAAATAAGACAATTTTTACGAAATCAGATACTAGAAAGGGATTTTGGTCTTAGGCTATGGCCATGATAATGTTGTTTTTAATACAGATTTTAATGAAGAATACAAATGCAAATTGATAGGTAAATTAAGATAAAACAATCAATAAGGATTAAGAAATCATATGGCAATTAACAAATGAATGTGCCTAACCTAGTGTACAAATCATCAATCTTATGTTTAACTTATGTTTTATCTCATAACATTTTCATTTGACACAAAAGCATTTGCTGTATATTGAATGAAATACAAATTTCTCAGGAAAATTTCAAATTGAATTTTGAGAGATTATGAACTAGCTTTTGACAAATATTTCCATGAATATGTTATGAGTTAGAAGATAAGTTATGGTGTAGAAGCTGACGATAGATTAGGCCGCATGGCCTCTTTCAGCTATTGAGCTATTGTAACATTGTAGTCTGGTAACTTGTTATTTCAGTCACTGCATGCAGCAAATTTTAGAGAGTGTTAACTATTGTCACGAACATGGAATCGTTCATCGAGATTTAAAGGTAAGTTAGATGTCCTTTTTTTGTCATAAATGTTGTAACCGAAGATCCAGTGTCAGTATTTCTACAGAAATTTTGTGAATAATGTGTACCCAATGTAGCCCCTTTTGTTTATACCACATACAACAAAGTTGTAACATATAATTATATATAAGGGCTATTCCATTCAAATGAATGGGGGAGGGAAAGGAAGGAAAATTTTGGGACATTGGTCATTAAGGTTGTATGTCCATTTGATGCATGCAAAATTACTTAAATATGTTGGTTGTGGGGGAATATATTTTGGAAGTCCATTCCAACCCTCTAAATCCAATTTAATGGAATAGTCTTAATGTTTATGACTTGTTTGTCAATCTGTTTTTAGGAAGACTTGTACAAATAATAGAAATTTGGAATAAGTTCTTTTTTTCCGAAACTTGAAAGTTTATTTAAAAAAGAGTTTATGTTCAAATATCTAGATTATTATTGGAACAGCTTTTGACTGAATGTCATATTCTGGTACTTGTCACAAAGACTAAGGAATGAGTTGCTAGGAGCACGACTGTTTCTGCCTATATAGGCTGAAAATCCAACCTCTATTTAAATTCCTAATGCCAACAAGATTTTTGAATTCTGGGCACATCAATAACATTTCCTGATTCAATTGAAATTGCAATTCCCAGAAGGAAAAGTCCTGACTAGAATATGTCCACCTGACAATTGATCTCCATCTCATGCTTCAGTGGTCAGGTGTTTTTTTGGAACATAGTCTGTTCCAAAGTTACTAAACATGATAGGTATTCAATATTTGGTATGCTGTTATTGGAAAGGTATATAATCTTGATCAGTTGTATTAAGTTTAAGTTCTCAAAAAAATTTACATAGCTTGTACTATAAAGGTGTATTTTGTGGAATTTTGCAGTTGCATTATTTTGTGCTTAGCTAAAGCTGGAATCTTTATATAGACATTTTGCGATAAGTTACTTAGCATGCACAAATGACATTATAATGTGAACTTTTTAAATTATATGCCAAAGAACAGTCTTGGCCTGGGTTGGTGGTTAATTGAACAAGGAAATGTAATAATGTGAAATTAATACATTCTCAGGTTAAAGTTTTTGGTTTAGGCAGTTTGCCATGTAGTTGTGGTCACATCAACTTGAAACTTAGTACACACATATATATATATGCTCAGTATGATGTTTACTACATGTATTCCAATTATTTGCCAAATGACCCAGTTTCATAGTTCACTGAACATAGAAATATAACAGAGCAGAACATCCTGTCCTATGGACACAGACTCTTGTACGTATGTACATATGTGAAAGTTTCTATATGCAGCATTGAATAACACTTGAAAGGAACAAAATTTAACCGAATACACTTGATTTCAATCTTTACCATTGTATTGTTTTGGTTCAAGTGCAAAGTTTAGTTTTGTTATCAATTTCATACAAAACATCAACAAAAAAGCATTCAGCTCTAATTAGATGTATTTTTTCAAATGGACAATCCAACAACCCAAGAAGTTATATATGATTGTTAATTTGGAAACGTCTTTTGCTTTTCATCATAGCTCTACTGTAAAAGGAAATATCAAATTATGAGCGAATTCATTTTAGAGACTACAAGATGAAAGATCAGTTTTATGATTCTTTATCCAGATATTACAGAATAATATTAGCATAGTTATACCTCGCCTTATTCCAGAGACTTAGAGATTTATATTTGGATGTCAAAATGTCACGAAAAAGAAACTAGGACGTGGCATTTGTATGTCAGTATGTTACATCCTCCACGAGTAATTGGAAGTAGGTCACATTCTGTCTGGGTAGATATAATTAGAGATATGACTGTAATCTCTCAGAATATAATGCCAGTTCCATGTCTATTTTGAATGTACATGTTCTGTCAGAACTATTTCTATATATCTACGTGCTATGAATAAGAGTCAGGTTTACAGCTATTTGTCAGAGATTATATTGACCTTTAACCTTGTAAGTTGGTATCTTGCTATTGTGGTTTAACAGCATTTGTTATGTTTTACATGCTTGTTGAATTTTGTTTAAAATAATGTATGTTGTAGTTGAAGGTAATACAACATTTGTAAAAGGCCATATTGCATTCAACAGATTTTTCTGATAAATAATAGTTTATTATTTTCTCTCTGTATTTACTTTTCATAGCTTAAAATTAGGTCTAACAGCTGTAAAAGCCTGTGGTTGAATAGAAATGGATCTAAATATACTGTTAGTTCATGTTTAAGGTCATAAATGTCAAGGACAAGTAAATAGAAATACTATCAGTTCAAGGACATTTGTGGTAATTGAATAAATTGTTAGTTACAGAAGAGAAATTAGTATTGCTGTATAAATGTGTTAACTAGTTTTGTTTGTAACTTCTCCAAAAAATTTGATGTATTGCTAAAATTGAGAATGAAACTTTATGATGTTTTTCTATCACAGCAAATCTGTTCAGTGTTATGAATTATTTGTGAAACAAAACACTGTCAACTGCTTTTGAATAGATCAATACCCTCGTAAAAAGTAGTAATAGAATAAATGAAATCTTAGAAAAGCTGTGTTTTATATCCATCAGTAATAGAAGTCCACATTAAATGCTGGTTGTAGATTTGCTCTTCAGATCTTGTTGACAGAATGCTTTGATCATTGCATAATATTTGAGATTTACATGACCTGTATCTCACAAGAAATCACACCCTGAGGAAATTGCATATTAATGTGCCACCAATATTGATTATAGGCAGTAGAGTAATTCTAGGATGGCACACAGTTTGAAGGTTTGATGTCAGTGTTCTACGATTAACATCCAGAGACTTAATACAGTTTCATAGCAATGATGAAATTAAATTATTCATGGAATGATATTGTCAATGAAATGCACAAATTCCATTTATATGTTTACATATAATCAATGAGGCAGTGCGGTTAACATTCTTTGTATGTCTGTAATGAAGTTATAGGTAGATCATTTGTTTATCATTATATTCCCATCTGATAAAAAAGAATTGCTACTAATTTAATTTTCTTCGGTTCTTGATTTTTTACAGCTTTGTTGGGAATTTTTTAGTCCAGAAAAGAAATACAGTGCACTTTGTCAAATAAATATGGGCAACAGTCTCTGTTAAACCAAAGATTTCCTATCATCCTTTGAAAAGTCACATTAATTAAAAGTTGACATTTTGAATACCTCTCCATAATTCATGTATCTATACTTGCAACTTTAAAATTAAAGGTACTGATGGGGTATTTGTATTATTAGAGCAGTTTTAATCCATCGCAGAATGACATATTTATGCAGGTTTCATTGAATTGGATGTTGTATTTGAATATTGCCATTAAGATCAGATGTTCTCTTTTATGTATCAAAATAATTGTTAATTTTCATGCATGCATATTTTCTATGTAGTGGCATATTTAGAAGCAATAACAGATTAAGAAAAACATGACTCATCGATCTTTAGATTTAAAGTGGTAGTTTTTCCAAACTTTGCTATGATTATATAGAATTTTGAGAAAGTTTGAAGCTGCAGAATTTTGAGAAAGTTTGAAGCTGCCAAGATAAATGACATGTACTAAAATTTCACAATAAGAACAATGTTTACATAAACCATAGAAGTGCTAATGATTCATAACTCATATTGTTTTACTTGTCTGGTTAATTCATAAATTATGCAGTGGGTTTGTTCTCCAGACTTTTGCTGATGGCTTTGAGACATTTTAAATAACCCTGATATATAGAAATTAATGATAAGATAAGCATGTACATAATGTGTTAATGAATATTTTATTATTTCTTTATATATGTATGAATTTAATGCCATATGTTAAAATGTCAAAATTTTCAACACCTTTAATTCTATTTCAACCAAAAAAGTTCTCAAATAATGCTGAAATTATACATATGTTTGTTAATTGTAATACTAATGAATATCTGAATAAGATACTTTGTTGTCATGAAATCACTAACAACAGCAATCTCTTTGCCATTATTTATTTTCGATAAATGATAGTTTTTAACCTCTTTTGTGTTCCATTTTCTCACAGAATCTGTCAGAACCAACCTTATGTCCACCCAATTGCTTTCTTCTATGTGACATTTTCCCCGTAATTGAGCAGTCAGCATCATAGGAATATGGGAGGGCATAACATCGAAATTTTGTCTGGTAGTCAAAAATTGATTTAAGGTGTGAAACGTAGACAATCTTCTAAATGCAAAATGTAAGATAAATAGAGATGGTATGATTTATACTTTTTTAACTATTCTATGTTTTTGTTCAAAATTTGTCATCTAAATAAAAAAATATTGCATTTCTGAAAATGGTAGCTACTGTCCATTTAAATGCAAAAATAAGTTAGATTGACCACAACAGGCAAACATTGTTGGGAAAACTATTTTTTTAAGAAGGTTACCAGTCATGACATTTAATCAAAGATTGAAACACAGCAAAATAAAGGAGTACTTTAATTTATGATTGATTGATTTTTGAGTCAGCAAACTTGCATTGACATATGAAAAAATGTAAATTCCAGTAGAAGAAATTTAATTCCTCAATATAGGGACCTTGATTTTGAGAAAAGTGACTAAGCTCTTGCCAGTCAAAGCTATGGGATGACATCAGGGTAAATTGTGTTTTTTGGGTTACTGTCTCCTTGATGTTTTCTTCCACCTCTTCTTTTTTTAAAGTCATCAGTTCAGTCAAATTTTTGATAACCAGGAATTACAAGAAGAATTCTCATTTTGTTTGAATTGTTCCTTTATAATTCTATATAAACACACTATAATTATATAGCCATCTAATTAATCTTTTGATCTGTTCATTTTCCTAATCATTATCTTTCACCCTGGGATAAAAATGATGAAAATCAATAAATGAAATTCTGCCAGACTGAATAAATGACACTAATTGTGACAAATGTTTTTATATTAATCATTGTAAAGTACCTGGGAGTCTGATTCATAACTGCTCCAAGATACATTCGGCTTCATTTATACTGGTT